CTCGAGGAAAGCGTCACTTTAAAATGTAGAATACAATATATAAAAAGACAAAAAAGTAGAATTGAAGGAGACACAGTCGAGTAAGCTATTAAAGAATACAATGCTAGTTTTATATCCAACAAGATTGATATTTGGGATTAGAAATATTCGTGATACAATAACATCAATGCATAGAATACATTATTAGATTTTACTATAAGTAAAATTAATGATACGCTTCAATGATAACTGGACATGAGGATAGATTAGTTCAGTCATGTATGAACTGATTGTTGTTATTGTTATAGATCTTGAAATTAACATCGATGTAAATATCTTGTTTACTACCTCTAAACAGTAAAACACCTTCTTATTTCTTAGTGTGATCAACCAAGGGAATGGTCTGGAAGAAAACCACAAATGTTTTCTCTATTGACGTCAAAGTTCTCCCACATTTTACCAGCTGTAGCATAATCTAAGATTTTATAAGACCCAATCTGATCTTGTATTAATTTTATAATTGTACTTGGGTAATCCCCTTGTGTGCCACCTATTTATCACTTTTCCCACTTGCTCCGAGAACATACATAGTGTCCAAAATCTGGCTGAACGTAAATTCAAACATTTTTCATCTAGTCAACAAAAACAGGCATACAAAATAGAAGAAAAAGAATAATTATTATTAAGTAGCTGCGACTACATTTGTCTACAACGGAAAGCGATGGAATACCAGTGGTCTAGTTCCGTCTATATTCACTGTAAATTTACAGGATTCAATACTATGGAATACAATTATATTGAGTATATAATTGAGGACTATGCATTTCCAGTTTCAACTATTAAATATGGTTGAAAAGAAAAATATATATGTGGAGGTAGAAAACCAATTACAGGCTCTGTACTCACAATTTCCTATTTTGTGGTATCTGATATTTCTAAAGGTCAATGGGAATTGAGGAAAAACTTAAAGCCGGGCAATGACACAAGAATTAACGTTTAAGTCGAGAGACAAATATACTTTGGTGGTCTACACGCTGAGATAAATTGGGTTGCCTCCCTTTTCAGATATAAATGAGAGAGAGAGAGAGAGAGAGAGGGAGAGGGAGAGACAGGGGGGGGGGGGCCTTAACGTCCACTCGACAAAAACTAGGTCATTTCGGGACTAACATATGGTTCAATTTTATTTCAATAATTCGCTTGCGCGAGTAGGGGTCTTTAGCAGTGGGGGGAAACCGGAGGACCCGAAGAAAACACACTCCTTGTTACGTACAACCGGGGAATCGAAACCACGCCAGTTGACTCAATGACAGACTTTATGATACAGCTAACCATTCAGCCCCCCCCCCCGCCTGCTTTTCAGAGACTTGCATATAAAGCTACAAGGTTAACACACCCCAACCTTTCGCCCAGGTCTCTAGAGGTCCTAGCATGCTTCCAAGTATTTCGAGGACTAATTGTTTAAACTACACCATGTGCGATTTTCTAAATCAGAGTTACTATACTTATCCATATTAAAGTAACAGGCTTTAAATTGAAGTTCACACACAAAATAACTTATGTACTCTGATTCTGGGGAGCACAGGTTAAACATAGGACACACAAGATTCAATCCTAAAGAGTAAAATAACCCAAGTTCAGCTGTTGTGTCTCAATTTCTTTTAGTTGAAACGGTATAGTTTATGTATCTTACAGCAGTTGAGATATATCACCTGCTATGAGTTCTTACCCTGGCATCTTATTGGAGAAGGGCGTTTAATTCAGCTATAAAAGATAGTACTGGAAGAACCATCGATCAATATAATATAGATATATTCTTACCTGCTCTGACTTCTTGTTAGTGGTGGATGTTTTAATGAGGTATTAGGTCTGGTAATATTTGACGTAGCTGTGTATGGTGTAGTAATATGAACTCTAATTACATGTAAACATTCTCCATTACAATCTTCTATAATGCAACAGTTCATATGAACGGTTGTTGAACTATCTGAACTCTCACTGTCCATATCCATTTTTAACTGTAGGATTTGTATGGTTTCTTCCAGATCAACTATGGTCCATCTTTAGACTTTTAGAGCTTACAGAACAAGAATTGAACAAATAGGCCCGTTAAATATTAGTTTTTTCATCGTTTGAAGGCAGATGTAAAGCCAAGATGATCATGTAAACTCTAGGAATAAGCACATTACCAAATGTATATAAATCTGACTTTTGTTGGTATCAATGGAAAAGTTTACTCCCTTTTGATAATCTAGCGTTCTCAAAATATAAACTATCAAAATTAATCCGAATCTGGTTTGTCTTTTGAGAGTTCCAGAACTGGTCCATATTTAGAGAGATAAAACATAGTTCACTAATCCTTGCGCGGAAAACACCTATCACCTATTAGACATCGATAGAGTCTAAATATAAATTTGGAAGATGAGGCGGAAATCGCTATATAATTTAAACCATCGATCAGTTATAGTGAAATAGTCAGGTATGTACAAACCAATGGTTTATTTCGTGACGAAATCCAAGTATAGGAATGGAAAATAATAATTAATTCATAGTTTATCAACACTGCAATGTATCCAAAACAATGACTTTATCTCGTAAAGACCACAGTCAATTACAAGCCGATAAAATCTTTATCCCAGACAACGAAACGAATAATTTAACAGTAATTAACACACAAATGTATTTTTAAAATGCATATAATACAAACTGGGTTTATTAGCCCGTGAATATTACAATAATTCTGTCTTTTTCCCACGTCGTTGTTCAAAGACTCGTGTGACGTGACTATCATCTGTGGGATAATCAGAAACCGTTAACAAAACTTCTAAGGCGTAATACAATGAGAAGCTTCTAGTACTCGAGTCTTGTAACTTTAAATGACTGACATACCAAAAATAATTGTTCTCATGAATTGTGAGTACGTAATTCGATCATTGCATTACGATACAGATTTATTAAAAAAAGATCTGTTAATTCAAAATACATTTCATTTATGACCTATATAATATCACGATTGTTCAGCCGGTGATGCCAGATTTTCAATTTTCATAGTGTTTGAGTGCCGGTAATCGAAAAGCGTGACGTGCAATGTGATTAGATGGTAGCAGGTAAAAACGACATTGTTCTCATTTAAATACATTGCCAAGTCGACACAGACAATTGTATAAATCTATTATTGGGAACAATCTCAATTTACCGCAATTCATCCTTGTAATTGCACATATGTGCATCAGTCTAACTCAGTAATAAATATATTATGTCAATAAGCGGACGATGTGTGAACATTCAAACGACGGAGCCATATCCCTCTTTGTTTCTAATAAATGGAGTTTAAAGTCTCTTCTATTTTTGGAGATTATAACAATTATTATAACTTTGCCGGGACAGTGAAGTCTCTGCACGACTCTACATGGAAATCCAATCGTACGTGACTCTTTCATTTGCACGCCAATACGTACACAAATAACCCTCGGTTTTTCATCCCATTCCAACGACTAGGCAACACGTTATCTGTCAACGATAGTCCATTGGACTTTGTAACGATACAGCGATAGTCCAAACCCTACAACGATATGTCATACAACTTTATAACCATACAAAGATAGTCCATACGACTTTATAACCATACAACGATAGTCCATACAGCTTTATAATGATACGATATAGTCCATGCAACTTTAAAACAATAGTACGGTTTTATAGCGATAATTCACACAACTTTATAGTCAACGCAACCTTATAACGATGTAACGATAATCCATAAAACAAACCATACGTAAGCAATTTCATATAAAAATACATTGGAAATAAGCAATATGCTCGAATTTATTATCTTCTAAATTTGAATTTTCCTAACCAAATACTGATATAAGATTATTAACAATGGTTTCTACTGTGCTACCGTTACAACAATATATGTATAGTCTTTATGGATGACCTCTAGTTTTAAGGTATTAATATTGGATAGTGTTGTGTAGATTTATCAATCAATAATACAGACTATGGTTGTTGTAACGTATACTACTGACTACTGTTATAATAGACTAACAGTTTATCTCGTAGTCGCGTTTATCAAATATATAGTATATTTATGTATTTTATCGACAGAAACACCTGACCAAGGCACCTTCATAAAGAAATGTATCGTGTGAATTATAGGTGGGACGAGGAGATATTTGCTAGAGTTCCATAATCTGGGAAAGTCTAAATAAATCCATTGTGGTTACACAATCAGCTAACATTCTAAGCGGAATGGAGTAGAGAGAGAGACATGGGGTTTAACGTCCACTCGACATAAACTAGGTCATTTCGGGACTAACATATGGTTTAATTTTATTTCAATAATTCGCATGCGCGTAGGGGTATTTAGCAGTGGGAGGAAACCGGACGACCCGGAGAAAACCCACGAGGTTGGACAGGCGACCCTACTCCTTGTCACGTACAACCCGGAATGGAGTAGGACGATATCTAATGTCTCGGCGTCGCGATACTGCAATCAATACTGATACTTTGATTACGTGTGAGTACAATGCGAGAATTTTGCCACGACAGCGCGCTCTAGCAGCCTACTCTCTATGAATTCCAACTATCTGGGTTATTTTTAAGTGCACACCAACTTAATTTTGTAATGGTAAATTTGCCACGACAGCGCGCTCTAGCAGCCTACTCTCTATGAATTCCAACTATCTGGGTTATTTTTAAGTGCACACCAACTTAATTTTGTAATGGTAAATTAGCTACTCCGCAATAAACAATATACGTCCACATTTCTTTGTGGGCGCATAAAAAGTATGGGGACAAAATGAACTTTCCAGAATTTGGCACCTTGATAAATTTCTACTACTATTTATATATACTATGTAATTATGTCGTTTTTAACAAGTTAGGCAAGTCAGACGTTGTGCTGGTGTAGTTGCTTCCCTTTAAGAATTCTTATTTTTTGCTCTAAATTCTAGATGTTTTCAGGCAAGTCTTAGTGTTAAACTCTGGCTGTTTCTCACAAATTCACAAATCAACGAATTGAATTGAAAGAACCGACAGATTTATTGAAAATACAAACTTCTATCTACACCTACTTACATCATCAAATAACGTGTGTATACAAATACATATATTTACTTACTTATATAGTTGGCATATAGATAAAATATATAATATACATGTTACACGTGGAAGACATGATTTTCGTTGTTTGAAACCTCGAACCTTGAGACAAATATATTCTCATAATTTTGGCACATTTGGGAGAAAATACGAAGAAATTAATCAACGTTTAAAACCTATAAAATAATTTAAAAATTTAATATTTTTGTGAATAGAAAACAAACTGAAGCTGTTTGCTTGGTTAGTAAAGGCGATCTCTAGTTTCGATTCAAACAAGATCGAGTAGTTTTTACCAAGTACCCATCCAAGTGATTTTTTTCACAAATATATTAAATTTTTATTAAAGTAAATGACAATTAAAAATACGACAATATAACGCATTAAACATAATGACAAATAGCATGCAATAAAATAGTACATAGACAATATCATTATCATACATCCCTGGCAAGATTTGTGACCAAAATGGACGTTTCAAAGTTAAAAGGCACGTTCATGAGAGAAAAACACCAGAATACAAGCAATTCAAGCATAAAATATGTTGGCAGTGATATGGCAGTCTAAGATAAAAGAGATACAGTACTTGGTATAACCTTCTTGACAAAAATATTTCTTTTCATTTATTAAAGATCGAGGATAAGCTCCTTGGCGAAGGTGTTGTGGAGATTGTATTCTGCAGAATGGTAGTGGGGAGCATGTTACAGCCCAAAAGGGACACGGGATAAATGGCCATGTTTAGATATAATGTGTAAATTTGTCTTTTATAACGGTAAGTACTACATTTTACGTATTTGCCAAGAACGCTATTCCAAGCGCCGCCATTCTTTTTCTATAACACACAACAAAAATTATAATATACATCCACAGTGATTGATTACAGTATCATTATTATACAAATAGCACCATTTGAAATTTGTTCGATTACACATAGAAATGTGAATCATTCGGGTTTGATACTACCTTATATGAGTATCAATATATTGAGTTGAGCCCTTTAACATTAATTAATAATACTGAATAATATAGAGACAATTCGATTAAGGCTTATGTTAATACAAAAATATCACGATTCGAGAGATGCTGGATATCATTGTTACTCGGTGTCATCTAATTTACTGGATTACTGAAACAGAAATACAGATGATTTAGAAAAAAATAAATAATGCATTAAGATTATCTGTGACATTATCATGATCAACCAGAAATCGTCAAAAAATTTAATTTTTAAACCCGTCGTATGATTATCAATTTGGGTTAATATAATATGTATATAAAATGGTGTACTATATGGTTGTGTTTGTATAATATCACCAAAAATGGCGTTCTGCAACCATTTTATTTCAATCTCTGGTTGAAATAGCAGTGGATGGATGGGACGCCTTGTCATTGGTAATATATTCCAGAGCAACATGTTAACGGGTGATTTTGGTTTAGTTTGGCAAGGATTTGACGACACTGATCGGTTACGAGCCAGGAGAAAGGCAAAGGATACGAAATCTATTCTGGGCGAACATGTGAAGTACACGCCTTTCACAGTACCGGATAATCATCTGACGGCTGCTTAAAAGATTGACTTTTTACCAGGCCCCGAGTTCAGAAAGCATTCTCAGACTTAAGTTGAGAATTTATTCAAACTTGTTCATCTTATAACTATAATATAGCCCTTTATAATAATTTTGTTGTTTTAATGTATCAAATACATCAATAAGAAACTATGTGCAAAGTTTTGTGTTTGTGGGTCAAAGATATTTCTCACAAACAGTGATTGAAAGTTGAGCAAATTCTCAACTTAAGTCTGAGAATGCTTTGTGAACCCGGGACCAGAGCTTGTCGTCTATACCACAGCCTGTTTCAATACAGTTTGTACCAATACATCGATTCACTCATGGACACAGATGACGATACCACTTGAAAAGCGTTCAACACAACTGCCACGTCGGGTATTTGTTTTATTTCTTTTATTTCATAATGTAAAATAATGATGGAAACCACAACCTAAACTTCGATAAACTTGAGCAGCTCTACCCAGTCCGTTAGAGAACTGGGTCACCCAATCTTCAATGATAGTCATAAGAGAATGTCACTTACCTTATTTGGTTCTCTCAACAACTTTAACTCTGGCTTTCGACATATCTTTGTTATGTTTATTCTGTACAACACAGGTGTAATCACCTTCATGACGTTTTCTCAAACCTTCAATCTGTAACCAACCTGTTACCTGATATCTACCTGGTCCACCTCGAGCAGCAGTTAAAGTAAACTCATCATCACCTACCAAAATACATACAAGTCAAATAGGGACTATAAAGAGGAGTATGCACCATTCAGTCAGTGTAATATAGGAATTTTGACTTATCTACTCCTGTGTCGGATTTACTTAAGCCTCAAGATCTAGCGATCCTCCGGTCGAGGCGAATAATATTTTTGACACTGTCATGCATGAGTTTTTTTTACATGTTTTAAACATCCGCCATCATGCTGGGTTTCCCTCAGTTGCGTTTAAAATATACTTGCATCCTCTTCTAGTCGCAAGAGTGGTGATTTGAGCGGGGAGAGGTCTCATAAGCGGAATAGCCCCGTGTCTCTATTTATCTAAGCATGACACTCGTCTAATCTTATTCGATTTCCAACTGTTAGGGGACCTTTGAGGTGCTGTCAATGGTATACGCTGGACCTCCGAAAGACTGGATGATTTTTCTTACCTTTTAAGAAACTTTAGAGAAACATCCGGCAATTTGACTTGCAAACGACAATTAAGTCAATTTTAACCAGAAAATAGAGGTAAAAATAATGACGCTACCCATGGCGATACGGGAATTGATTCTACGCTTATCAATATCCTAACTTCTGACAAATACATAAAGATTAATATATTAGTATATTAGTTGCTCTCGGCTTATTTCCTGTACCTACCTGGCATACTGAAGGTTTCACCATCAGCTCGGGTGTACAGCCATGCGATATGAGGTGTAGGGTTACCAACAGCTTCACAGGACAAGATAACAGTTCCACTGGTGAAGTTCTTAGTGTAGACGGGATGGGTGACGATTTTTGCTCCTGTGAACAGAAAATATTCAAAATCATTAATCTAATTCTCTATAATAGACAGTTCAAACTTCGAATCCTTATATAATGACCAACAGTTCAGATTGTAATACAAAAAAAATTCAAAAGAAGATCTAGCTGCTAAAATCAGCAAAACACAATATATTTAAAAATGTCCCATTCACAATTATATCAGGCTTAATATTCAAATTGAATGGTGTGAAATATTTGAGACAGCTTTGACAATCAATTGCTGAGATATAGACGTTTTACAACTGGAAAAAGTTTTACTATGTAATATAAGTCGTGCTAGATTATTTTTGATACTAGTCGAGATCGTACGATACAGCCTGGTAATAACTGGCATCAGAAAGTTATTCCCATCGCCTAATTGTCAAATTTGGTCAATATTATGAAATTAACCTTGCAAACTGGATGAATTTGTTACATTTTACTTCCATGATGATACACCGAAATACTTGAATAATGCACAAATACCCTATCACCTTGAAAGTGCGGAATGTATCTGCTATAAGCTACTATTTGACTGCAAAGTTGTAGCTTCTTGAATATTTTATCAATATTCGATTTAATGTAACTGTTCACCCATTATAAATCTACATTGGTAAGCTAATGGCCATGAAATGCAGACCAAATGAAATTTTGGTTTAACTTTCTATTTTTGTGGACCGGCTCAGACTTGTACAATGCAGACGATTATACGCCACATATACATTGTGTGCTAGGGGAGCAATTTTGCCCGGACAGCGGTAATACGGTCTACTCTTATTTCGAATTCCAACTGTCAAGGGTTCTTCCACGTGCCTCTTTAAATTATTTGGTAAACCGATAGGTTTTCTTATTTCAGATAGTAAAATTCATTTGGTGGATTACTAACTTTATAAGTATGCGAACATGTGGTTTTTCATTATAGCTGAAGTGAGCTACGTAGTCTTTATGGTCAGTCTGGGGAACAGATGGTTTATTCCAAAGATGGTTATCTATACACAGGCCACTTTACCGGTACAAGTATGAATTAACCACTTGTTTAACACGATATCATCACCCGGTTTATCAATAGGCCTTGTGTTGCCATTTTGAGTTTAGCGGCAGAATATTCTAAACGAATGCCCACTATGTGATGCTTGAAACAATTTAAATTTTGACATCAATTCGAGATAGAATATTTATAAGAATATATTGATATATCCACGTAGAAAAGTACAGTACAAATTGTAAACAATTGTCAACTCCCTAGATAAATCACAAACTTTTACGGTGCATTAAATTGTATACAGATTATAGAGTGCATTAAATTATATACAGATTATAGAATGTGTTATATTTGTATGCACAAATAAATCTAACAAATTGTACACAGATTCTACATTAAACTGTACACAGATTATACGCGGATTATACATTAAATTTGTATACACAGCTATTTAACTATCACCGCTTGTTATCTTTAGCATAAAGATTTTTTGTTCGCGATTAGGAGTATTGGGAGTATTGAAAGAACTAAAACAAATAACTTTATGTATAAATGACCTTTGTAGTTGTTTATCTACAGGCATTACCTGTTATTGTTATAACAATGGTTACATTTCTGAGCCCCATTGCCTATCAGTCTATATTTGGCTACATTATGTAATACCAATATAAACAGTTAAGAATCACCGGGAGTAATATTGTCAGCTATTAATAGTTTCTGTATAAAGTTTGAATCACAAGTTCGTACACTTCAGTATACACATAACATAAACTATTTAGGTTATGGATATACATATAGTTAAATGATGCTGAATATAAAAGATGATATGGAGTTTAACTTAACGTATTACTTTACTGTTCCAACCGGGCTAATAAAGACGTGCCTATGCCACGCAGTTTCTTATGAGGTCATTATTTCAACAAACTAGGCGTTTCCAACTACTTGTCTTGCAAAATTTAAAGCTTCTCTTACATTCAAACCAACGACTAGTACACTTTTTTGTCCTTCGCGAACGACTAGACGTTTTTCCTAGCCAGGCCCTCGTCTTGTACCACTGGGATCGAACCACAGGCCTCCTAGCTGATGATACAGAGCCATGCACACCGAGCCACCGTGGTTCCCAATACAAACTTTACTTTCACACTTTCACCCCCGACCATCGGTGGCTCCCAATACAAACTTTACCTCACACTTTCACCCCCGCCCATCCATATTCGTACAATCGTATACACTTGAGCAAAACACTCCAAAAAGATTAACTTTACCACTGTGCAGTATGTCACCAGTAATATATGTATTCACTTTAGTATTTATTTAATTAGTATTTACAATATCTAATCTCTAATACATGTATTCACGTAATTAGTATTTACAATATCCAATCTCTAATACATGTATTCACTTAATTAGTATTGTACAATATCCAATCTCTCAATACATGTATTCACGTAATTAGTATTGTATAATATCCAATCTCTCAATACATGTATTCACTTAATTAGTATTGTACAATATCCAATCTCTAATACATGTATTTAAGAAACGGGCCAGAACTGCATGTACGAACCAAGGAATTATATATTTTGGTGGATTATTTTGTCTAAGATAAAGGTGATGTTCTCAGTAAGTTTCTGTCCAAATCTTGACTTCTTCAGATAGTAATTTTGACTGCGTATTACTCGCATGACAAATTACCCTAAACGCTACCGGAATCTACTGTAGAGAAATTTCCAGCTGGGAAATTAATTAAACTCAGACGCCGCTAATTAGTTATCTAATTATAGTAACACTATCTCGTTTAAGCAGATGATGCAGTCGGGTCGTCATAGTAAATTTATATTGTTCCAAGATCATACACTATAGCTAGTTATCATTTTAAGAAATGAAATGAAATTTATGTTGTTCTCGGATCATATACTAGGTATCGCTTTATGAATTGAAATTTATGTTGTTCTCGGATAATATACTAGTTAAGAATTGAAATTTATGTTGTTCTCGGATCATATATTTATGTTGTTCTCAAATCATATACTAGTTATCGTTTTAAGAATTGAAAATTATGTTATTCTCAAATCATATACTAGTTATCATTTTAAGAAAATGAAGTAAAATTGATGTTGTTCTCAAATCATGTACATGTACTAGTCATCGCTTTAAGAAATGAAATGAAGTGGTGTTTAACGTCCTATTTCCATGCAGTGTACTCTCCGACTGACAAGGGATCTTTCATGTGCACGCTACGGGGGCTCGGTTTTGCGTGCCATTCGCACGACAAGGGACCGTTCCTTTCAATGCTCCTCACCCAGAACAACTGACTAGGGAAACCACACTGATAAGTCCGGAGGAACTTTCTAGGCCAGCATCGGGATCGAACCCCGCCCGCTCCCAATAGTGTTCCAGCCCTTACTGACAGAGCCACATCACTTTAAGAGAAAATAAATAGGCCGATGCTGAAAAAAGTGTGACAGTTAATAAAGCACACTTATTTTTTTAAATCTCTGTCTGTGAAAAATTCAAGCGTAAATAAATAGCTTTATGTGACAGTTAATAACACACGCCGAATTATTTTAATTTTTTTTAATCTCTGACTGTCTGTGAAAATTTTTCATGTAAGCTGCAAATTCATTTCTTCTGAAAATTATGTTTTTGTTATATAATGAGTTTAATTATCTAGGGAAACAAATGCTGTCATAAGCGCCTAGTCATATTCCACATGTATAAGTTCAGGTCAGAAAGAACATATTGGAATCCAACTGAATTGATCACCACGACAGTCTATCTACACCGACTTTTCCTGCCTGCATTCTAATGAGAGAGAGAGAGAGAGAGAGAAAAATGGGGTTTAACGTCCACTCGACACAAACTAGGTCATTTTGGAACTAACACGTTGTTCAGTTTTATTTCAATAATTGGCCTGTGCGTGGGGGTCTTTAGCAGTGGGGGGGGGTCTTTAGCAGTGGGGGGGGGGGGGACAGGTGGACCCGGAGAAAACCCACGAGGTTGGACAGGCGATCCTACTCCGTGTCACGTACAACCGGGGAATCGAAACCACGCCAGTTGACTCAATGACAGACCGTATGATACAGCGCGCACGTGCTAACCATTTGGCCATCCAACCCCGCTACATTCTAATGACTTCAAATTAAAGGACAGTGTTGGTGACAGAACTGGTTAAACACGTTCCAAATATAATTTTAACACTGAGATCGTTGCTACGATAGATGCGTAACGAAGATTTGAAGTAACGGGAAATGACGCAAAAAATGGTAAACACGATTTAACCTTCTATATACTGATACTGAAGATACGAGGACCCGTAGAAAACCCACGAGGTCGGACAGGCGACCCTACTCCTTGTCACGAACAATCGAAACCACGTCAGTTGTCTCAATGACAGACCTTATGATACAGCACGCACGTGCTAACCATTCGTCCATCCAACCGCCCAAACCGTTTTGATGTATATCATTTATGCCTGGACTATTCTACAGGAAGGTCATTTCAAATCCTTATAGTAAATCCAATATTTCAAATCCTTATAGTAAATCCAACATTTTAAACCCTTATAGTAAATCCCATATTCATTCTCTTATAAAATCTGAGGATGAGTAATTCCTATTTCTTAGTTTCGTACAACCTACCTGGTTCACATGGTCCAACAAAAGAGACGGTGATATCTCCAGTTTGTCCTGATCTGACAGCATCCGCCATTAAACCGCACATGTTGTTGTAGGTAATATTGTTGGTCCCACAGATTATCTGGTCATGTTCACAGACACAAACTTGACCAAATTCTGTTTCTTCACAGCTGGTAAAATAAAAACAATATCAGTTAAAGATGCATTATGTAAGATCTAGATAAAGAGCTGGTCAAAAATAGATCATTGAAAATGAATATTGAAACTTTCAGTCAAAATTATGAGTGCTTGATGTTTTGGTAAGATAATCTTGATTGTCAAATACTATTAATACGATGATAAAGCAAAGTCTCGTTTATCCATTTTAACGTTAAATTAGTAAATGACGAAATTGTACTAATCCATTCAATATCACGGCCATCGAACAGTCTAAAGATTGTTGATGGGCTTGTCATGTAAATACATGTCTTATTAATATCTTATATAACATTTGAAGCCAAACAAAATAAAAAATAAGACCTTCAATAGACAGATTTAGCTCTTACACTATTCGATCTTTAAGCTCCACGTTGCCTTCACTTCCGTGACGAAAATTATAACTACAGTTCGGGTTTTGTTTCTTTCTGTTTTTTAATTTACATAAAAAACTTTTAGTATTAGTCACAAATCTTCTTCGCACTCAAATAAGTAAATGGCTGTTATGTCAGGCAGTGTGAGTTCTGCTAAATACTATCCCCCCCCACACACACACACTCTATTTTATAGTGCCCAAATATTAATTTGTTGAAGTCATAGACTGACCACGGTTCCAGGACTCTGGGAGGGACTTATTACTAAACAGACACACCCCATTCTTGGCCATGAAGATGACATTGACATTTTGACAAATGTTTTTATTAACCTATTGTTCAATTCATGTAGATTTATGTTATTTCAGGTATTATTTTGCTTGACCAAGAATCTATAAACAACCATTAGTCAAGGCCATAATAGTATTACATATGATAATAAGTTCTTACATTTTGTTACACAGTCAGTAGGCCTATTACATATCCTATAGCTTTACAGGCAAAATATTATTAAGAATTTTTAAATTCTGATGTGGTTTTCATGTATCCAGAAATACGGGTGTGTTTACGTCAATGTACGAGTCTTCCTACGTCAAAATAATTTCAGAATATTCGAAAATGTGCAACAATATGAAGCTTCATAGCATCTCCCCTTGCATGACCCCATTATATATATATAGCAAAGAGTGCAGCTTTTACTGTCATAAATAACACGCAGCTAATGTTGGCCCGGAGCTTTGAAAATGCGTATTTTTAAAAATATTATCGACAAACATTTCCGCATAAATTGTAACTTACGCCAATATCATATACTCAAATCCACTAGTATCCTTAATACAACATTATGTATGTCAACGTGTAGACTTTAGGATACGGGTACTATTTATAATTATTTCCCTATATTACATAGACCTACGATAAGCATTGTGTAACTATCAACTGTAAACAAACTAGTCAAGTATTCGGTGTTCTTATGTAAACATACATAGAAATAGTCTGGGAATACTGCAGACTGATTTCGACTACTCCCATAAAATAATTAGTCTATATTTTCGACACATAAATTTTGAATAATAGCAAAATTCCATAACTTGACATCAACGCCAATCCTTAATGTTTTTTTTTACTAAACACGTGTTTCTATTTGGCTGTTAACTCATCATATGCACTAAATGTAGTATCTATGGGCTTTCTCTTTATATTTTAATATAAATATTATTCATATCAAAGTGAATATGAAAGCTTTTAGTAGAGAAAAATGTGCTATAAAGGTAAATAATGATGTTTTTATGATGCAATGTTTTCCAGATGTCGTTTCCTTTCCTTTCCTTCACAACTGCTGATTGTTATAGCCTTTAAAATTTAACTTTCTATAGAAAAATGCAGGTCGAATTGCTAGCCATGTTGAAATACGTTACCGCGTGTAGTAAAACAATAGATTCCATAAACAATAGGTTTTACAACATCAAATATAGGTACCTAGGTTATGTTTCTAGGATTAGATTCCACATCTGGGTTCTAGACATTTTACCACACGTGCAACTTGTAAAAATATGCACTTATACATGTACATGATGTCTTCATTAGGAATTTATACACCACTCCAGATTTTTGCCAAAGATATGAAATGTACAAATCTTACATCTGAATTTATAAACAAATTTAAAACTTGAAATTCACTTTATAAACAGAATGCATTTAAATGGGAATTCGTTTCCCCCTTTTTTGCAGGGTTAAGAATTTCATACATCGTCGCTTTTAGGATCATAAAGAAATTATATACACCAATCCAGATTTTCGTCAAAAAATGTAATCTAAAATCCTAATTTATGAACAAATTTAGCGCTTCAAGTTCAGCTTATACAGAATGCCTTCCAGTAGTAGGAATTTGTTTTCCCTTTAATAGTTTTATTCATTGTCATTTTTTATGCCAGAATGTTTTATTTAGTCAGTTTTAAAGCATAATACTGTGACGTCCATTAAGAATTATAAACAACCCCGCCTTAAATCATGGTGCCAGTCTTTTCAGCCGTATCTGTCAGTTTAATGTAAGAATTGATTTGCCATTTTATAGGAGTGGTTCCGACTGTGGAATTTGGGTCATTTTAAGAAAATGAAGACAGCTGACGGTTTATTCTAAGAAAAAGACGTCCATTCTGAAAACAAAAATCAACTAGATCTTCTTTGAGAGAATGAAGTCTGTATCGTGGGAAATAAATATAGGTCGGTCATTAAACCTTGTATTATCTACAGGTCTATGTGACCTAGATTCTAATGTAACTGTACCAAATGTTTTAATAACCCGGATATCCGTTTTGGATAACAACACAAAGAAATACAAATATTATAGCGTATACTATCATATATTGTTGTTTATATTTATTATTATTTTCAAATGATTGCACATTCAATCGGGGTTTAATATAGCATTTCCCCTCAGAGAGAAAGAATACTGAAAATGGAATCACATAGGCCATTATGATTATGAATCACATACCTTTTTTCTTGATTACTTTTAAAATTATTCTTGTCTAAAGTATAACCCCATACTATGATCATTTAGTCAATTTGAGAAAGTAAACTTTTAAAATGAATAGTTATTTCCAATTTTATCATCGTAAAAAAAAGCATTTCGTCTACCCCCCCCCCACCACAAAAACAGTTGAAAGGATCAAACATTACCTTAAGCCATCTCCACATTTTCCATTTTCAAAGGGCTGTTCTGGTAAATCACAAGTTTGACTTTCCATGCGAGCACAAACATCACAGCAGTCACACCCATCTTTAACTATTCCTGTTAGACATTCAGATCGAGAAAGTTTTGGACATAAAGCTTTTTTACATTCCTTGCATCTGGGGTTCTTTCTGGCGGCTCCGACGAACACAAGTGCCAAGGCACATACTAAAAATAAACTCCTCATTTTCAATTCCAATTCCCGTCAATTCTTGAGCAAAATTACTCCGTCTTAACTTTTCTCCCCAGTTCTCGAAAATCCAAGATGGAGTCTATTTATCAGATTTAGCTGAAGTGAGTTCTGTGTGAGAAGAAGACGTGGCCGATAAAAATAACTTCTGGTAATTTGATCTGAGATGCGGGCGAAGAGAAGAACCAAACCCAGTTCACCTATAAACATCTGTTTATCCAGACGTTTTAGATATCAAAGTATACAAGGTATATATGATACCTTATCACTGGACGTACTTGTCTAACATAACAGTGCAGGCGGTCTGTACCATAATTCGGAAATCAAGGGGGCGTTTGAAATATGTACCAAAGTATTTCCTGCCCTGTTATGTGAATGAACTCTTCGGAAATACTTGCAATATATATACACACACACTCAACTCGTTGTGTCACCATGTACATCAGTCGTCATGGGTGGAAGCGGACGTTAAAGCACATGTTCCTACTTAACGTCAATTAAATTGAAATAAAATAATCAAGTGCGTTTGTAGTGGATTAGTCATAAGCTGGATTTTAAATCTGAATCAGAGGTCTCGTTGTCTTTTTCAAATGTATCGAGTACTACTAATACAGGATTCCTTAATTAAACCATGATGAGATCTGATATTGTAATAAGACGAATAATAATACATAAAATTTAAAATAATATTATTCAGCAACAAAAACAGCCTAGTATCACGAAGCATTTTTAATTGAACGGCTTCGTTCTGTTATTAAACGGCTATCACAATTAGCAGTCCTTTCTTGAATCAATTAAATAGATACTTTAGAAATAATCAGTTAGATTAGTGGTTATACTCTAACAAAAGATACGGGTTTATAGGTCGTAATGCTGAAGTTAAAGTATTCGAAGCTTTGTTATTAATTAAAACTAGACTACTCGTCTAATCAGCTGACATGCTAAAGTCTGAAGCTAAACTTACATAATATATTTAAACACAGTGTAAGTTTGCTCAGCAAATGATTTTATAAGCGCACCACATGTGGTCGCTATTATTGTTTGCCATATCACTATGTTATTGACTCTCTGTATATTCTTGTAAATAAACTGTTAAAAAAAATGACCAAAGGGACGTCAAAACCGATTGATGGCGAATATTTAAGATATAGAGAGAAATGGGGTTTAACGCCCACTAGACACAAACTAGGTCATATCGGGACTAACATGGTTCAATTTTATTTCAATAATTCGCCTGCGCGTAGCAGTCTTTAGCAGTGGGAGTAAACCGGGGGACCCGGAGAAAAACCTACGAGGTTGGACGCGTCACGTACAAGCGGGAAATCAAAACCACGCCACTCGACTCAAAGACAGATCTAATGATGCAACTAACTCCCATTTTAGATAGGCTTATTGCTTTGACTGTATACTTTATTATATTGCTATGAATCCGTTTATGGATTCATAGGTTGGTTCGATCATTGTGGCTTCTTAAGCTCTGACTGGTTTTGGATTCATAACTAGACGCCGTGACTTGTATCGGGTACAAGTCAGGGTATGTTCTCTGTCTGAATCCTTGATACTGTTTTCACTGAGTTTATAATTATATAAAGAGGATGTCCGATGCCAGGTTCACGTTATTGACAGTTATTGTATTGAACTTTACATGCGGTTTATTCTGGTTCATCATGAATTGTTATTACTTTAAAACTGGGGGTTGGATGGTCGATTGGTTAGCGCGTGCGCGCTGTGTCATAAGGTCTGTCATTGAGTCACCTGGCATGGTTTCGATTGCCCTGGTTGTACGTGATAATGGATAGGATCACCTGTCCAACATCGGGGTTTTTCTCCGGGTCCTCCGATTTCCCCCCACTGCTAAAACCCCTACGTGCAAGCAAATTATTGATATAAAATTGAACCATATGTTAGTCCCGACATGACCTAATTTGTGCCGAATGGACTCTCTCTCTCTCTCTCTCTCTCTCTCTCTCATAAAACTTTTTTTTTATCAGAGAAGCGTTTTGATTTGTGCAATAAACAGACCTGTCCGATTTAATAATGACTAATATAAGAGGCGGTCGTGGTGTGTAGAATTATTTTTAAAGCCAATTAATCATGTTACAGGGGACTCCTGTGAGACTTACAATAAAGTTATATGTGGTTTCAGACCACCAAAGGGTCTTTTTCCATTTCCTCCTTATGCATGGCGATTTTTATTGGCATTTTATAATAAAATGGATATTTACATTTTTACCAGGTTTTATGCTAGGTTCCCACTATCACGATTCGCACTATCACGATTTTATTATAAAATGGATATTTACATTTTTACCAGGTTTTATGCTAGGTTCCCACTATCACGATTCGCACTACGATTGAAGTCGTGGTTTAATCGTGGAGTAACGCGGTATCCGAACGTATCTGCACGTACCAGATCGTGAACTCATGTGAGACAATCCTATCCTAGCGCATGGACTCAGACTAGCAATTATTTGCCCATTGACTTCAATGTTAAATGGCTGTAACATCACAGGCTGTAGCTTTTTTCTCAACATTCCGTTGGTTCCAATCTTTATAGGCATAATGGGGACAACATTTGGCAATCTCCTCATCATAATTTTGTAGGGGGTTGACCATTTAGATTTTTTGCTACACGGATTTGAAGTTGACTGGGGTGAAAATCTCACTTCCGACACAATGATTGCTCTGCAGAAAGACACTTTACACCCCTATCCCTCCGCTGTGATATCATCAGTATTACCCAAAACTGCTATGAAATTGCAAATTTGATCCCTTTTCCTCCAATTCTAGACCAAAACGTCAACCCAAAAATGCAGGAAGAGGGTAGAAAAAAATTAAGGGAAAAAGTGTCTATTTATAACTCGCACTACATTCGTAGTCTTAGTCCGCATCGCACGACAGTGGGAACCTAGCATTACTAAGTTTTCACGATGTGTTTTCTTTTCTATAATGTAAACAATTTCGAAAGACATTTATCTAGAAGTAATGATAACTTCAAATCCCTATATGCCATTTGCATTTTGCGCTAAAAAATCAAATCTTTCACGGCTTAATCCACGCTAATGTGTACCCATATGGATTATTTTATATCTATGAAAGAAAAGTAGATTTAAAATACCAACGTTAGATAATGCCCCGGCTGGGCTTCAATCAGATCTATAAAAATGTCTATCAAAATGGCGGCGGGCTCATTGAATAGCAAACAGCTGAGATCGATGAAATTTCATTTCCACAAATCTTTGTAAATACTGAACTTAATTGAGCCATTATTGGATTGACATTCCTCTTTCACAACAGTATAGTTTGCAAGTGATTCTATAGCGCTGCGCTAACTTGACGTATCCAAACCTTAGGAAACATAGATTACATACAAGAAAATGGTTTTTTTTTTATAATTAAAACTCGTTGATTGTCAGATACACCTTTATATCTCAAAGATGGCTTTGTTGATTTATATGGATATTGTGATATAATTGGGGATAAATGCCATACAGAAGTCTAGTGCAATGTAGATATTTTTGGCGTGGTTCCACCTTGTCAGTGATGCAGGACGGAGGGCCTGACAAGGACAGCTATCTAGTCATTCGGATGATACGAAAAACCGAGGTCCCGTGTATACATTGGCGTGCACGTAAAAGATCCCTTGCAAGTTGGAATTCGATATAAGAGTAGACCATAGTGCCGCTGCCCGGGCAAAATTTCCCTCATAGCACATTGTATGGCGTAAGTCCGTCTTCATTAGCCCAGTCGGAGCAGAACAGTAGGACGTTAAACGCCATTTCATTTCATTTTATTTTGCAATGTGGATATAAAAAAATTATCTGTTAGGCTGGTTTTTATTTAAGTCGTAATTAACTTGTTTTCAAATTATGATTAAAATAGATTGTTTTGTAGGCGGAAAAAAAATATTTTGGACACAGTTTTCAAATATGGAAATATTATGTAGTTTTCGATTGAGTAATCAAAAAATTAATAATATGTTATCTTTGGGTTATCGGGAGTATAAAAACCATAATAAGTGAAATATCGGTAGACCCATTGGAACTCTTAGGAAGACATAATGTAGCATTTAGAAACACAACGTGAATCAAGAATTAGTGGCCGTGACGGAGGACATTGCCACACATTCTTTGTGGTACCATTTTGCAGAAAGTTTAACACACGACTGTGTAACAATTGTATACTTTCAATATGGACGATGTGACAAATCAAGTGATAGTATCGCCAACGGTAAGAATCGTCACACAAGAAACATAGTTTCCTTTTCGTCTGAATTAAAACAGTCATGCAATTTTAAATAAATATATACATGTACTACCAAGTGTGCTTTTAATATACATTATAAGTAACAAAAGGTACATTATATACTTATGTAAGTAAATTGACTTCCTGTGGAAATTCCTTAGTCATTCACATTTTCCGGATTTTTTATACGAATAACCTTTACTACAAAGACCCACTCTCTCAAGCAGTAGTTGAAACATCTATGCATCAGGCAACTATATATCTACAGGTTTTTCCTTATATACTTAGACAGGGGTGGACTTGGAGCCGGGGACCCTGAGCCATCCTGGAACAGTGAGAGGTCCCCAATCTGGGGAGTGTGTCTGTGTGTGTGTGTGTGGGGGGGGGGGGGAGGCATTTGTGATGTTTCTATGCTTAAATTTAGCGTATGAAAAAACAAACGTAAATTCAAGATTAAAAAAGGGCCCTCAAAATAAAAAAAAGAACCCAAAACTATATAAGTACATTGATTTCTCTAGCCCCCTCCCCCCGCCCCAGGCTACCCAACTCACGGAATCCAAGAGAAGGAAACGTGGGCCAAGGCATCCGCAACTAGCTTAGAATAGTTCTTGTATTGGATACCTCAACCTATGTGGTACCACAGAAGCCACAAAAAAAGACAAGGCTTTAGGCACGTTTCGAGTGGACGTGTACCCACCCCACCCCCCCGTCTTTCGGTCGGTCTGTCTGTCCGTCCATCTGCTCCTCTCTCTCTCTCTCATGATCATGATCATGACTCAACCAGAAAACCGTTAGGATAGTGTATAATGGTATGTGTGTAACAGAATGGAACCGAGAAATCACGATGTAATATGAGAGAAAACACCTGTCCTCCATTAATAATTTACAAGTTTAAAAACAACGGAAACTTGTGTATGATGTATAATGGGTTACTTTCTATGGTTTGTAATCAAACTGGAATTTTCAGCTGTGTTTAGATACGACAGAGGTGGAAGGGTGTATACATTTAGTTTCACACACATTCACTATACAAAATACAACCGAAAGAGAGAGAGAGAGAGAGAGAGAGAGAGAGGGGGGGGGGCTTAACGTCCACTTGATACAATCTAAGTCATTTCGGGATTAACATATGGTTCAATTTTATTTTAATACCTCGTTTGCGCGTAGGGTCTTTAGCAGTGGGAGGAAACCGGAGGACCCGGAGAAAACGCACTTGGTTGGACAGGCGTCTCCATGTCACGTACAAGCGGATAATCGAAACCACACCACCTGTCTCAATGACACACCCTATGATGCAACGCGCACGCGTTAACCACTCGGCCACCCAAACCCCTTTACAAAGCTTAGGCATGGAGTTTAGAAATGTGCAGTGTCGGGTTGTTTTACCATTATTTCATTTCCAATTTTTTAAAGATATTACCCCCCCCCCCTTCACCCCAGCGCCCCCACCTGTATCTGATCATCACCGAGAATGGAAATCTGTACAAAAAACGACTGCAAAAATACATTCTGCTCCTAGATCTATATTTCTGTTCAAATATACTTGAAAACATTAAAATTATGCTTGTTATAACATTTATGTGGGGTGGGGTGGGGGTGTCCGGGTGTGCGAGTAAGTCGTTGGCTCGCTAACCCGCAGGTTCCGGGTACGATACCGGTGTTTACCGAATGGAATAAAACAAAGGTTCAGTTTCATTCTTGAAGGCAGGAAACAAACAAAATGGTTATCATTATTAATTAAAAAATTAAAAATTGATTTATATACAGCAGGTTGTACATTTTGAATTAAATAATATTATTGGAAATGTTATTGCAATAATCTTCATAGATAATATTTATATATACATAATTGATAATATTTTGTCCTGGTTTCCATGACAACACCTAAAACAAACATTATTCTAATGAATACAAATGCCCACATTAAGGCGAGCCACTGGAGATGAGTACCTTTCAATGTTTATGTTTGTATTGTAAGGTTTAAGTTTTGATTTGCAGCAAAACATTATCAAAACATTATAATTTAACGCGTTCGTTGAAAGATTGACCCGGACAAAATAAAACGATGTAAGATACGCTCAACCAGGTTCTAAGTATTAATGTAATTTAAAGGGGTATTATCACTTTAATGATACATTCTCACGAATGTATTTATAGGGTGGTTATTTCTAATAACGGACGGCTTATTGTCTGCCAGCTTGACCTTGGGAACAGTTTTTATTCTTGACAGAATGGTTAGGCTGTTATGGGAACACTGAGAGGTGTAACAGACTCTGCAATCAAGTTGGCAGAAGTTGAAAAAGAAATTGGCAGAAAATAATTCAAGAATTTACTTAGCCCTCAATATATGGAACAGCAATCAAATAGCGGACAAAGAAGTAGGCAGAAAATAATTCAGGGATATACTTAGACCTCAATATGTATGGTAAATGGACAGTAAGTAATACCAGTTACATTCTGCAAAATGTGCCCTCCTTCAATCAAGTTACAAACATGGCTTTTAAAAATAGATTTTTTTATAGCTTGGAGTATCTCCTCGCGAATCGAAAGTTTTGAGAGAGATCCGAGGCCTATTTTTGATAGATTAATTAGTTTGAATAGGTTTTTTAGTCCATATATATCATCAAATCACACAGTTTAGAACGGTGCGGCAAAGTGGCTAAGCCTCGAATATACCAGTACCGTGGTTACGATAGTAAACAATCAATGCACACATCTTGTCAAAACAACAAACTTGGCTCAGAATAAAGTAATATGAATGGAATTATCTAAATCTTACATAATGTATCTTTGACAAATAACATATGCAAAATATTTTAAACTAATATTATATTATCACTTTGAGCTAACTGTCGAATATCTAAGAACTTACATACACAAGGCGAGGCATTGTGCACAAATTTTGCATTTACTGTCGATACTGTATAGCCCCTTCACTTCAAATTGAGAATTTTGTTTTCGACTGACGACGAAGACCTAATATATTGAAAATTTCATTCAAATTACTTTATTTCTGAGCGACGTTATCCTTGTTTGATGTTTTGACACGGCGTGGCATAGATTGTTTATTATCGTAGCAACGTTACTTTTTAATCGAGACTCAGTCTCGCATCTGTATTTTTAAATTAAATCATTAAATGGCGATCATATTTCAATCTGTTAACATATCCGCCATCCGATGGTCTAGAGTGTGTATCATAGGCTTTTCTTGTGATTAATGTCTAAATAATAATTTATATAACATTTGAAGCCAAATTAAACCTGCAATAGGCAGATTTAGCTCTTACATAAAGCATCTTTAAAATGTCGACATTTGAAATCAAACTTCCTAACAATCTATATCCCTAAACTCTTAAACATCGTATTCTAGAACACCTAATACCACTTCTCGTTTACTTAGGAAAGACAAAGATTTCTGATGAACAGAGGCTACACAAAATATCAGACTACGTTAATTACAAATTATACTGCTTCCTTTATACGTTAACTTCAAAATGCTAACAATTTGCGTTTTGTTGCCACCAATATACAGTCCAAATCTGATTAAAATACAGATCTATATTTCGTTTCGTTTTTTATATTTTCGATGGCCTACACTACATGAAAATCTAACTGGAAGGTCGCGTCAGGGGTCGTAAAGCGGCTTTTGACCCTATGACGCCAGACATTGACTAATCAGTCGGCGTTGACGTTTCTAGTGGTTTACCCATACAGTTCCGTTCATGGCACGCCAAGAAGTCGCGGTAACAAATGGTTTCATTGGCTTATCCCTCACGCCTACCAAGAACGCCTGTTATATAACAACTCTTCCAGATCCCAGTGTAGTACAGACAAATAAAACGAAATTTTGAACTATAAAAAACGAAACGAAATAGCATCTGTGTTTTAATCAGATTGTATACAGCCCAATTAAATAGCTGATAAATCTAGATTACTGTAAGCTTTTCCCAGTGTTATGTCTCTTCTTGGTAAATTATTTTCAGAATAAACGTTGAGTAAATCTCTCATTGAATTATGGTATGTCTTTTTATCTATGGAAACTTTATTGCCCTGAAAAACACGAGTCAAAATCGTTGAGTCACCATTTTATGCATTGTTAATGAGGTGTATCAATCAGTAGGACAGGACGTAGAGGGAATACTGAAGGACAGTGTATAGTCGTTCAGATGGGACAAAAATCCAAGGTCCCATGTACTCTAAATTTATTTCATTTCGGTAATAGGGAGTCTATATCTTGACCGATTGCGAAGGTGGAAAATATACAACAAAGGGGTTCTTCTTAGGGGTACCCCCCCACAAAAAAGAGAAATACGGGAAAGATAGAATTGCTATTGCGCTATCCAAGGTCACATGTACTCTAAATTTATTTCATTTCGGTAATAGGGAGTCCATAATATCTTGGCAAATTGCGGGGGTGGAAAATAAACAACAAAGGGGTTCTGTTTAGGGGTACCAAAAACACCCCCCACCCCCACCCCAAAAAAAGGAGAAAAATCCGGGAAAGACAGAATTGCTATTGTGCTATCTAAAATAATGTTATCTTCATGGCAAGATCTATTTCTTAAGGCCAATTCAAGATTTTGTCAAGGTCGCTGAGATGTAAATAAGGCTAGGGCACGTGATTGTTGCCTGTTGGCGAGACTGTAGGTTAGGGTAAGCGTTCGGGCTAGGTCCAGGGTTACGGTTAGGGTTTGGATTAGCGCTAGCTCTGTTTACATCTCGTGACCTTTGACCAAACTTAAAGGCTCAATACCACTCTTGTTGTAACTGAATAATATGTCCCAATCTTTACTCTAGTCAACAAATTGTACTGTTTTACAATATTCCAATTAATTGATGATACAAATTTCATCTTAACACACCTAATTTAAAAAAATGGAAAAATTCAACTAAATGATTTGAAAACCCTAACGTAAACCTTTTCAAATGTGACTTAGATTTAAAAATATTTTCGAACCCTCTGGACAAGTAAAATAGGATGTAATGGATAATTTACACAACAGGTAGGACCCATACACATCTAATACTTAGAATAAGGCTATTATTTATTTTCTGGAGCTGTCAAGCCAGCAAGAGTGTTATTGTCCCTTTAAAGTTGACCTTATGAAATAGATCTAATCTTATCTTCATATTGTTCGGACCAACATGTTTGATTGGGATCACCTGTTTCACGAAATTTTAACTAAGATAAAATCCACATTTTAGTAATTTGATTGGTTAATATTAGACTGATTGTAATGCTTAGCCAACCAAAATTGAAGTATCTACTAAAATTTGGATTTTATCTTTAGTTAAAATTTCGTGAAACAGGACCTTGTACTTATACATCGTATATTTCACTGGATCAAATAGGTAAAAATAATCGTACAAATAATCCTAAAGCCGCTTATCGAATGTTTACATATGTTAATAATGATCAGAATTGGACCATTGTGGGTTGATATTCCCTTTAGAGATTCAACTGTGCATTCCATTGGACTAAAAACCCACCAAAGAAAGACCTGGGGTCTGTTTCACGAAATTTTAACTAAGATAAAATCCAAATTTTAGTAATTTGATTGGATAATATTAGATTGATTTTAGTGCTTAGCCAATCAAAATTGAGGTATCTACTAAAATTTGGATTTTAACTTTAGTTAAGATTTATAGAAACTATTATACTGACCTGTGTGAAAACTTTGTATTCTCTGACGTCATCCTCCGTGTTGACAGCTAAAACCTTAGTCCCATCACTTCTTGAATCACGCACTAAATATGTTCCAACTGGTCCGTGTTTTAAAATCCTAAAATATAATATTATAGATATTATTATGAGGGCGACCAACTCTTGTTTTAATATTCTAGTATATAAATAGTACATAGATGGTATACGAGCGGGTGACTGACTCTTGTTTCAGAACAAATTATGAAATGTACTAATCATTTGGTTATAATTACAGATGCTTTATGCCAGATTAAGATAAATAACTAGGCGTTCTTCCTATACTAGTTAAAAAAAAAAAGATAATGAAAAATAAATAAATATATTATTGAAAATTTCATTCAAATTACTTTATTCTCAGCGAAGTTATGGGTGTTGGAAGATTGTTTATTATCATAGCAACGGTACTGGACAATTGAGACTTTGTCCCGATTGTCCATTTTACGTTATAATTATATTTTTAAATCTCGCGGACGTCCTAATCCATTTAAATCTCTGTTATTCGATGCTCTTAGTAAGTTGATTATAGGCTTTTCATGTAACTAAATACCTAAATAATAGCTTATATAACTTATATAAAGTCGAAATGAACACCTGCCTATTTAGCTCTTACATAATGCATCTTTAAAATATCTGTCCCAGGTTTCGACTTTAAGATTTGGTTTATGATGAAGATATTTTATTGCATAATAAACATACAAAGGAAATGAAATGAAATGGAGTTTAACGTCCTACTGTTCTGCTCCGACTGGGCTAATACAGAAGGGCATACGCCATACATAGTGCTATGAGGGAAATTTTGCTCGGGCAGCGGCACTATCACTTACTCTTATATCGAATTCCAACTGCCAAGGGATCTTTTACGTGCCCGTCAATGTATACACGGGTCCTCGGTTTTTCGTACCATCCACACGACTAGACGGCTGTCCTGCACCACTGACAAGGGAAACCACGTCGGAAATTCCCGATGTATTTTCACGGCCAATGCTGGGATCAAAATGCGACAAAGGCATTGGTAAAAATTTACCGATAACCTCCTGGTTTGAGTACCTTAATTAAACGCCAAAACGGCTTGCTTTTCTGTTTGAAAATTTTAAATGAAATGAAATGAAATGAAAAGGAGTTTTACGTCCTACTGTTCTGCTCCTATACTGGGCTAATGAAGACGGGCATACGTCATACAGTGTGCTATGAGGGAAATTTTGCCCGGGCAGCGGCACTATCGCCTACTCTTATATCGAATTCCAACTGCCAAGGGATCTTTTACGTGCATTCCATGATACCAATGTATACACGGGGCCTCGGTTTTTCGCCTCATCCGAAGGACTAGAAAGCTGTCCTTGTCAGGCCCTCCGTTCTGCACCACTGACCAGGGGAAACCACGTCGGAAAATCCAGATGAACTTTCTCTGCCAATGCAGGGATCGAACACCCGACCTCCAAGCTAGCCAGCCAGCGTCTTAACCACCTAGCCACCGTGGCTCTCTGAAAGTTTTAAATTCAGGGGCTTGTCACCAACTGTACATAGAGTGTACCAAATTAACCAGTTTCATTTTTGACAATAATTTTAATATCAATGCACGGGAGATAACCGTAATAGACTTACTTGGCTGCTTCTTGTCTGTCGCTACTAGGGAACAAATAATCCTTTTCCGATAAAGGTGGCAACTTTGAAAACTTCTATAAATAGACCACGAAGGAAAACATATAGAACATAACAATCACTCTTTATATTTTTTTTTATATTAATGATTTTGATGTTTTAAGTCCAATGCTAATATGGTGCCAGATCATTGAGTCAGACACAGAAACTGTAGTTTTAAGTTCAATGATGATATTGTGCCAGGTCAGTGAGCCAGACACAGATACTACAGTTTTAAGTTCAATGATCATATGGTGCCAGATCAGTGAGCCAGACACAGGTATTGTAGTTTTAAGTTCAATGCTGATATGGTGACAGATCATTGAGTCAGACACAGATACTGTAGTTTTTAAGTTCATTGATCATATGGTGCCAGATCTGTGAACCCCTTAACACAACTACCAAGATATAACAGCACTGCTTTCATTAAGTATCAAATTAAAAATACGCCGCTCCTACAAAACACCCAAATAACCACCTCCCGTCCCACCTCCACCCCATCCCCTCAACGAGCTCCAACAAACAAAAAGAAAAAAATCAACCCAGCTTACACCATTAGCCTTTGTATCTTTCGCCATTGAAGGAAGCTTTGGATTAGTTTGGCGTTTATCAGATGTAGGTGGTAACGGCACTTTTTTCTTTACAGGAGAATCGTTCTGCGGGACTGGCGGCACTTTTTTCTTTACAGGAGAATCGTTCTGTGGTACTGGTACTGGCAGCACTTTTTTCTTTACAGGAGAATCGTTCTGATCTGGTGGCAGTAAAGGAGGTTTCTTTTTCGGCGGATTCACGTTCTGTGTTGAAGACATCGGTACTGGGGGTTTTGTTTTTACAACTGGAACATTCTTTGCTGGTGGCTGTAATGCTGCATTTGGTTTCAGTGATGTGTTTTTAGAGTCCATGGTGTTTTTCCTCATATCTTTGGGCGTGGCTGTAATATAGAAGAGTTGTGAGGATGAGAGAGAGAGAGAAAAAAAGAGAGAGAGAAATGGGGTTTAACGTGCACTCGACACAAACTAGGTCATTTCGGGACTAGAGAGAGAGAGAGATTGGGTTTAACGTGCACTCGACACAAACTAGGTAATTTCGGGACTAACATATGGTTCAATTTTATTTCAATAATTTGCTTGAGCGTAGGGGTCTTTAGCAGTCGGAGGAAACCGGAGGACCCGGCGAAAACCCACGAGGTTCAACAGGCGACCCTACTCCTTGTCACGTACAACCGGGGAATCGAATCCACGCCGGTTGACTCAATGACAGACCTTATGATACAGCGCGCACGTGCTAACCATTCGGCCATCCAACCCCTTCTGTGAGTATTAGATGTGTGTGTGATCTACTGGGTAAATCATACTTACTCATTCAGAGAACGCTGAAATTCTTATATGAAAAACTGCTCATAATTAAAGCTGATACACATGTTCAGAAAACAATATTAAAGGCATTTAAATGACCCAAAACAAAACATGTGGTTACGGTTGGTTTCAAATTATCGCCCTTAAATAATTTTGTCCCTTTCAGTTTCTCTCTATAAAATATATATTTTAATTATCTTTTTGTATATCTACAACACTGTGTGTCATATGCTATAGGCGGTGAATATGTACATTTTGAGGTCAATTTGACCCTTTAGTCAGAGACCTGTAGCTCCTCCCACTTTTTATAATGACATCACTTTAGACATCATTGACGCGTCTAAGTCATAAACAAGCATGGTGATGGCAAAAGGGCAGTGTTACCAAGGATTCTTTTATGAGCACTTATGTGTACACTGTTAGACCTCGTTTTTTTGTACCATCTAAACGAATAAGCCCACTTTCCTTGACAGCCCCACATAATCCACCCTGGCAACTGATAACCGGGCACGAATGAAAAGGAAAATAGAACAATGAATGGAACCTTGTGAACGAATTGGACATCAATTTGTATTCTTAAAGAAGGCTTCTCGCCTATAAAAACTTCATCACTATGTCCAAGGAGAAAAAAATGGTGGATGTTGTGCACAAAGCAGGGTATGCACACTCTTTTAAAATTACCAGGTACCACCTTAATGGGTTCGATTACTTGTACAGATTTTTCTAATTAGATTTTTCTTTGCTTCTTGTTCTGACCAAGTATATCGTTTGTATTCTTGTCCTTTGATTATGTGTATCCCCATATATGTCAATCATCGGAGAGGGGGCGGTGCGGTATACATAAATCTGACATGAAAAAACTTACGTGGCAATGGCATGCGGTTTCTTGGTACAACTAAACCTTCTGGTATTTCGTCATAACCTAAAATAATAATGCATGTGTTTGTGATGCCGAACCTTCGTTTAAATGAAATGATTAAAACTTTTCTGCAACAACTAGTGATTAAGTAGACGGACATATGGAGAACTTTGCCCAGAAAGCGACGTGTCCACACCTTCTTGTCCCATCCGGATGGCTTGACGCTTTTTTAATGTCCAGAACAGAAAAAGTCGAGGAACTTTATCGACCACAATCCGAACCAGGGATTTTGAATAATTTTGAATAATTCTAATAATTGGTGAGGACCGCCTGGTGAGGACCGCCAAAAAGCGCTACTGTCTCTATAAGGTCCCATATTTTCCAGAAGTAGAAAAGATGAGACAAATTTACTTTTGATATTTTTTATGAGCCCCACCCCCAGCTATTTTGAACGGCGTCTACTAGGACCACTTCCGGGTAAATATAGACATAAAGACAACGGCCGAAATTATCCATAAATCAACGAAAACTGATTAATAAAGTTTTAGAACTACATTAGACCAATTCGGCACTATCAACTTGGGGGGAATTGTTTTATGATTATTATAAAATTGTTTTATTTTATTATGAAATTGTTTTTTAATTATGAAATTGTTTTTTGATTATGAAATTGAAAACTCACTATCGTCATCACTGCCATACTCTTCGTTCTCGCCCCCAGCATCATCACCAGCATCATCATAAAGTTCATCGTCTTGAACATTTTCCACTTCCTTTATTGGTTTTTGAAGGTATACATACACGTCATCATCTGTTACAGACCCACCCGAAGGCATTCTGTTAAAAGAAACAAAACAAGCCCAATGAAATGAAGTTTAACATCCACTCGCCACAAACTAGGTCATTTCAGGACTAACACATGGTTCAGTTTTATTTCAATAATTCGCTTGCGCGTAGGGGTCTTTAGCAGTGGGAGGAAACAGGAGGACCCGGAGAAAACCCACTGCCTATTACCCCCCCCCACACACACACACAAAAACCCCAAACAAACCCCACATATTTATGGAAATCAGCTATTTTTGTATTTCAAGACGACATTTCGGAGAGTATTCTCTCAACACAATTTTTTTACTGATCGACGTTTTTCCAGTTCAATTACTAAATGCCATCGGGATAATTTAACAGACGAATATTGTTAATTAATGACTATTAACCATGCTTGAATCTAATTTTTTAAAGTTCAATCCACGCTAAAGTGTACTATACTGTAAAATAATGTCCCGTTTGGATTCAATCGGATTAAAAATAGACCCATGTAACGAATTTAGCCAAGATTATCCATGACGCTGTTCACATTTTTCTAAAAAAAGTTCCCTTTATATCGTTTGCGGATGTTGACAAATGTTAAGTTGCTCACATCTTTGTAAATGTTGAAAGGAATTGATATTTGGATTGATATGCTATTTAGAGATTCACAATATTGTATTTCGCTAAGGGATTACAAATCAGTCCCTCCCCCAAAAGACGGTCAGAGGAGTTTTCTATAAAAGATGATATGGGCCAATCAGAGTGAATTCGAATTCGTTATAACAGGCCATGTCTACAGCCCTATATTAAAGTCTTAATTAGTAAGTAAGTGGAAAGGGTTAAATAGCAATCAACCGGCTAGTGTATCATTTCAAAATGGCTGCTTACTGATCTGGTTCCACGTTGTTTGCTATGCACATTTCTTCCCTTAACTGTTTCATCCATTCCTTCAAAATAAAATTTAATGAATGAAATTGCAAGCAAATGTGGCACCATTGTTGACGGTTTTCTATTTTTACTGACTGTCAGTTACAGTTATATTTGTTTATTTTCGTTCTGAAATAAGAGGGGATTAATATCTTAATTTTGCTCATCCAGCGATAATGAATCCGATCAGACGTCATGTAGTGTGCTATGATGCTATGAGGGAAATTTTGCTACGGCCTATTAGTCCAGGATTCTATTAACTGCACGTCAACCTGTACACGGGACCCTAAATTTCGTCCCATCGGAACAATTAGACTCCGGCTCGCAGTCCGGCACCCCAATAAAGAGAAACCAATTGGAACTGCTCGGCCAACACCGACAATAAACCCCCTAGTTAACGCCCCAGCGTCTCACTCGGTCTATTTATCATTATTAAATCATTAAAGATACATTTTGTAAGATTGAGATAAAGAGCTGACCATTCTTGTTAATAGCTCAAAAACAGATAATGTAAAATGAAAATTTTCATGTAACTGGTTGTAGTTTTGACAAGATGTGTGCATAGTGGTAAGCAGGGCACTGGTATATTCGAGACTTAACCTCGCCTTCCCATTTTTTAAATTAAATTTTTAAATGGCGAACCGTTCCTATTTAGTTAAAATCTCGAGTATCTGATGTCATCGAGGGATGATTATGGTCTTGTTTTGTTAATAAATGTCTAATTAATAGTTTATATAACATTTCAGACCTAAAGAAAGACCCACAATGGGCAGATTTAGCTCTTGCATAATGTAATGTTTAATATTTGTTTTTACCTTCCGTTCACCTTCAGAAGAACACGAAAATTGATATTCCTTCATTTGTGGATATAATCCTTCTAATCTAAATATTAATTCATCATTATCTGATCCCATCTTAAACAATCTGAAATATTCAAACCAAATTCATGTCAAAACGGTTTTAATCGATTAAAACACAAACCCTATGGACTGTGATGAAAAACGGTGCTCTTAAAACAAATTACCAATTTGCAGTATCTAAATAACAGTAAGCAATCAATTTGCTGTTTAAGCAAGGAAAACAAACAAACAAACTTCTATTCAATCTGAATAAAATACAGATCTATATTTCGTTCGTTTTTTTATACTTTCGATGGCCTACACTACATGAAGATCTGACAAGCTGTACTCGAAGGTCGTGTCAGGGGTCGTACGATTGATTAATCAATCAGCGTTGGCGTTTCTAGTGGTTTACCCACAGTTCCGTGCATGTCACGCCAAGAAGTCACCGTAACGGACTGTTTGATTGGCTTATCCCCCTCTTCAACCAAAACACCGGTAATATAACAACTCTTCAAGATTCTAGTGTAGTAAAGACAAGTAAAACGAAATTTTGAACTATAAAAAACGAAACGAAATAGGATCTGTGTTTTGATCAGATTGACTTTATTAATCTTGAAATCCAGATTACGATACAACATACAAGAAGGATGTATTTACGATCATGTAAAACCGCCATAGATCAATTCTCCCAAACAGAAATCATTAATTCGGTGGAATGGCAATGTTGAAAATGATATGACAGTATAAAATAACATGACATATGGTATAAAATTATATGACACTGGAAGGATACCCGGCTTCGTCCTGAGTCATAACTCCGAAACCGAATGTGGTAGTCTATCACCACCAGGCCTAAGCTACTCCCCGGTCCGGGCTAAACCTATACACTACATTTTAGCTTCAGGGCAGCCCTAATGTAGCCACCGACCTTGAACAGACAGGCAAACGGTAGTCACAAATATTAGTATAGAAGATAGAGTATAAAATTATACGACATAGGGCATAAAATTAAACGACATAGAGTATAAAATTATACGACATAGAGTATATAGAGTATAAAATTATACGACATAGAGTATAAAAGTATACGACATATTGAGTATAAAAGTATACGACATATTGAGTATAAAAGTATACGACATATAGAGAGTATACAAGGTAACTTTAACTGTGCACGGTCAATACACCATTGTCAAGGTTGACAATTGGACACATAGAACGCGAAGCGGGCACAAGTACCTGTGCTAACGCTGAAGGTTATGGCACCAATATGCTTTCATGTGGAGACTAGCCAATCGTTTCCATCAACCATACTTCGGTTCCTTTTTTTTTTCATGCGTTTTTTATTGGATTTCAGTATATCTGATATCAACAAGGAAACTCTTCAGTTAATTACAGGTTGTGACCTGTGATAACCACGGTAAACTACGGTGATTATTGTGAAAAACTTACTGATTGTAACCGGCCAATGGAAAAGCTTTATGAGGATTTCTGGACGATTCCTTATCATAAATATAAACACAACCTTGTGATATTATAACAAACCTCTTCCTCCCTAAAAAATATAAAATATAAATAATAACTTCACATTGTCTAAAATAATAAATCAACCGAAAACATCCCCAATAATTCCTTTAAACTGTTAAAACATATTAGTCTAATCTTAATTGACTTCTTTAGGTCTAAAGCCCGGTCCATACACGTTCAATTTTTTCGTCAATTAATTGATATTAATCAATTGATATCAATTAATTGACGAAGAAATTGAACGTGTATGGATGACATTGACTGCGAATTAATAGAAATGAAATGAAATGAAATGGGGTTTAACGTCCTACTGTTCTGCTCCTAACCTGGGCTAATGAAGACAGGCATCCGCCATACAGTGTGCTATGAGGGAAATTTTGCCCGGGCAGCGGCGCTACGGCCTACTCTTATATCAAATTCCCACTGCCAAGGGATCTTTAACGTGCACGCCAATATGTACACGGGACCTCGGTTTTTCGTCCCATCCGAACGACTAGACAGCTGTCCTTGGCGAATTAATAGAAACAATTCATTAACTAACGGATCAAAGTCCCTTTGATATCTATTGACGGCTCGTCAATTATTAGACCGTGTGGGCTAGTGCCAGATATGCTTTCATCTAGAAGTTTTCGATCAGAATGAAAATTGACGCTAAAACATTGATCATGTGTGGGCAAGGTCAATTTCACCAATTAATTGCCATCAATTAATTGACGAAAAAATTGAACGTGGATGGGCCGCTTAAGTTCAGTACATACTCTTCTTACTTTAAGCCATTTCTACAATGAGATTGTGGACATGTATACTAGAAATGAAATGAAATGAAATGGGGTTTAACGCCCTACTGTCCTGCTCCAAGACAGGCTATTAGGGAAATGTTGCCCGGACAGCGGCGCTACAGCCTACCCTTTATCGAATTCCAACTACACGCCAATGTGTAAGCAGGGCTTCGGTTTTTCGTCCCATCCGAACGACTAGACAGCTGTCCTTGTCAGGCCCCCCGTCCTGCACCACTGACAAGGGGAAACCACGCCGGAAAATCTCGATTAACTTTCTCGGCCAACACCGGGATCGAACCCGCGACCTTCAGGCTAGCGAGTGTAATACTTTTAGTAGAATTTTTGCTCGAGAAATAACATATTCGCATAATATGTGATATGTACTTAAAATACTTAAATCAACTTAGGGTTTGAATGACATATTGTGATATAAAAACACTTGTAGAGCCATAACATAACTGGTTCTATGTCAACAACATGTTAACAGATATCTCATGAGAATATTCTTCAGTAAAATTCCATTCCACCATATAAGGGTGGGTTGTCGACGTCATTGGGCTCAATTAACCAATCTCTATAATTATTTACATCATATTTGACCAATTGGATAATTGAATGTCCAAAACCAGTAGATACAAAATTAGGATACTGGTGAGAATTCGCCAGACTTCTATTAGGTTCCAGAGGGCTTACATCTGAGTTCCTAGACAGCCGCGAGGCTGGCTAGGGTAGAGAAATGGTTTTAGCTTGTATTGTTATCGATTATGCTTGTATACCTGTATTCAGTTATATATATATATATATATATATATAAAATATGTAGAAGCAAACTGTCGCATTGTTATTACTATATAGACAAGCGAGCTATCCAACTTCATATCACTTCCGGTTTTGATAAAAATTAATTACATGTTTAAAATGTTCGTTGTGACCTGGGTGGGGGGGGGGGGTATTTCTAAAAATATATTTAAAATTCAAGGAAACCTTATTGAATATCGTTGGTCTAACATATCTACTTCACAAAAATATTTTACTTACATTTTTTAATATCTTTAAAGATGGGTTTTTGTGGTAAGTTAAATCGTTCCACGATTCGTTCCCGCCTTCCTCGTTTTGCCAGATATCCACTGTGTGAACATTCTGATATATTTAACAATGCCTGGGCACCTACAAATAAATAAAAATGTGTTTTTTGAAAATAAATGGCGGTGGGTAAAATGAAATGGCGTTTAACTTTTTAACACGCTGTACCAGTCGGGTTAATGGCGACAGGTATACCCCTTCCGTATTAGTGAATTTTTGGCGAGACAGTAGCGTTTCTGTTTACTCTGCATCGAATTCCAACGAGGTTGGACAGGCGACTCCACTCATTGTCACGTACAGGCTGAGAATCGAAACCACGCCAGTTGACTCATTAGCAGACCTTACGATGCTACGCACAGCACGCGTTAACCGACATATTTAACGAAACGGTTCGTGGTTGGTAAACATATAAAAAGCCATTCCTGGTAATTTTAATGACGCATAACCCAAATAAGCCTTTTGGTATATGGTTGCGTCCGATTTGTAATCTCCCGATTTATTGCATATGAAACTTCCTTGTTGTTTCGTCTAGGGGTTTTATTAACAAACAATGGGGAATTCGGGGAATTTTATTTGCTAAATATGAGAACCTATTTGATAATAAAGAATATCACATCAGTACACTGTCAAAAATAATAAGGTAGTTTACACCAATTCGGGTGGAAACTAGTTGTCACCTAAATAGGGGTACTTCCCAGGATTTAGTGGTGCAAACTGATGTAGTACATTACACCAATTCAGGTGGAAACTAATTTGCCACTTCCAGTAGTGTAACCTGCCTGATACACCACATTCGGATGAGTGTTGCACACAGACAGTGTAATGTTACACTTAAATAGTTTACACCCGTGGGTGTAGATTACGCACTACCCCTCAAGGATGTTTTGTAAATTACACTTCCATTTTAATTATTTGTTTTGTTGGATATTTATTTCAGCCCAACGACTTCTAAGTTCAGAAAACCTGAAATTGGCTATAGGTCTCTATGATAATTAGTGTAGGGCGTTTAGCCCGATCCAGATTATATATAGACCGTTGAATACTTCGCTTCATTTTACAACGACATTGAATTGACAAATATCCATCAGATTGATTCAAATTCAACTGCTGTTGAGCAATTACACAAGCTGTATCAATTTACAATGAATGAGGAAAAATCAATACACATATCCTTCCAACTTAACTGAATAAAGTGATTTATTCATTTATGCACCTCACTCGAATTAAAGGACAATATTGGTGCCAGTCATTATCACATATGTGATAGAGCTGGTTAAACACATTCCAAATATAATTTTAACACAGAGGTCATTTCTACGATAGCTGAGTAATACAGGTTTCCTGAATCGGAAGTGACGAACGCCAAAGGAAACCACGAGTCATCTATATATGTGGGGGGTTGGATGGCTGAATGGTTGTATCATAAAGTCTGTCATTGAGTCGACTGGCGTGGTTTCGAATCCCAGGTTGTACGTGACAAGGGGTAGGGTCGCCTGTCCAACCTCGTGGGTTTTCTCCGGGTCCTCCGGTTTCCTCCCACTGCTAAAGACCCCCTACGCGCAAGCGAATTATTGAAATAAAATTAAACCATATGTTAGTCCCGAAATGAACTAGTTTGTGTCGAGTGGACGTTAAACCCCATCTCTCTCTCTCTCTCTCAATCTCTCTCTCTCTCTCTCTCTCTATATATATATATATATATATATATATATGTGACGAGATGTTACGAGTGATAACAGATACACGGCCGAATTTCTGCTCACTAATAATTCCTTCGAAGACCAAAAGTTGTTATATGGGACTGTAAGTGCATACCTGACAATTCAATAAAGTAATTGAATGTCATTAGATAAGAGAACACGATAAAAATAGTCCGTACATTCCCTTGTTTATATTCATTCTATACCTTATAAAAACATGGTAATGCACGGACTTTTTCTGTTTTTCTTTCGTGTCCCTTTATCTAGTGGCAGTCAATTTATTTTATGAATTGTCAGATATCCTCTCACAATCTCACACAACAACTTTTGGTCTTCGAAGAAATTATTACTTAGCAGAAATTCGCCCGTATATCCGTTATCACTCATCACATCAGTCAGTTATATAGAAATATGACTCGTGTTTTCCTTTGGCGTCGTTCGTCACTTCCGATTCATGAAACTTGTATCACTCAGCTATCGTAGCAATGATCTCTGTGTTAAAATTATATGGTAGTGGTGTAGCTTATCCAAAACACCCCACAATTACACCTATTCAGCAGGTGTTCAGTAGTCATGAATATCGGTAACACTTGTTAGGTGTAGCTGTTTTAGTTGGTTACCTTTGCAAAAAGTATTACATTTTTAAAAACTCTAGTTGTGGTATAAAGTTCACACTCAATTCACACTGTATTTAGTTTTTAATCACACCCATTTTTCACAGTGTATGTGAAATTAAATCTACCTTTAAGTATTCAAGGTTGAAACTGATATACAATTGTGGCTATCAACAACAAGGAGTAGAAAATATACATAAATTGGTAAAGAGACGGTCCTGTAAACAGTATTTAAAACAGAAAAAAATCCAAAAACATGCACATACAGGAGTTTAAGGAGATTTGCCGCACAAATGAGGAAAATAATATCACAAACTTCAAATAACGGGAAAATCAGGGACTGGTCAAAGTAGTGTGAATTTTTCTAGGGTGTGTGTAATACTAGCAGTCCTCTATTTGTCGGCTCTACTTACCAATATTTCAATATTTGATTATATTTTCTGAACAATTCTTAATCATGTTATAAAATAACACTTATTTACTTTAAATGATTTTCCTCCATTATTTTATAATATGGACATAGCACATCTGTTTATTATGTTTTATATTCCTTGTATGACGAGAGGGGTGATATAAGTTATACCTGTTCCCTGATCCGTTTTCAACCATTTGAAAAAATATATAGTTTGAAAATAAATGCTGTCCTCGCCAATATTGTGTAATACTCAATGTCTGCTATTTGTACTCACCAATGCTTTTTCTGGCGAGGGTGAGTAAAACACACTGTCCTCTATTTGTTGTAAGTACTTACCAATAATTTCTGGCGTGGGTTAGTAAAAAACACTGTCCTCAATCTGTTGTAAGTACTTACCAATATTTTTCTGGTATGTGTGTAAGACTCGCTGACCTCTATTTGTTGTAAAACTCACCAATATTTTTCTGGTGTGTGTGTAAGACTCGCTGACCTCTATTTGTTTTAAGTACTTACCAATAATTTTCTGGTGTGTGTGCATGTCTAAGACTCACTGACCTCTATTTGTTGTAAATACTCACCAATATTTTTCTGGTATGTGTGTAAGACTCGTTGACCTCTATTCGTTGTAAATACTCACCAATTTTTGTCTGATGTGTGTGTGTAAGACTTGCTGACCTCTATTTGTTGTAAGTACTTTTCTGGCGTGGGTAAGTAAAACTCGCTGTCCTCAATTTGTTGTAAGTACTTACCGATAGTTTTCTGGTGTGTGTGTATGTGTAAAGGGGCCCATACACGTTCAATAACACCGTCAATATTATTGACCCAATATATTGACTCAATATATTGAATCAATAATATTGACAGGAATTGCCCACACACGATTCATTATTTCCATCAATAATTTCATCATTTTTTGGTCATTTTTCAAAATGGATGCCATGTTTACTCTTCCAAGGTTGACGATGGAATGAAAATATTGACGCAATTATTGACAGATTCTCCACACACAATCAATATTGTCATTCAATAAATTGACCGTCCGACAATATATTGATGAACCATCAATAAAAATCAAAATGGTTTTAATCCGTCAATATATTGACGCAATGATGGTTATTGACAATATTTTACATCAATATAGCCCACACACGTTCAATATTATTGAGTCAATATATTGAGTCAATTATATTGACGGAATTATTGAACGTGTATGGGCCCCTTTAGACTCGCTGTCCTCTATTTGTTGTAAATACTCACCAATATTTTTCTGGGGTGTGTGTAAAACTCGCTGACATCTATTTGTTGTAAGTATGTGGTTCTCAGCCATCTTCAATCCGTTTTTCCATCATAATGATACAGAATTATACATCATCTATTAAAAACCAGACACAATAAATTATATTTGAGTGAGTATAATTTGATTGATTATACTTCCGTAATAGTAATTTCAGTTTCCAAACTCACAACACTGTAAAATAGGCACAATATTGGGATGTATCTATTTTATTTCCTCATTCATGTACGCCGAATAGACATTGACTAAACCTTCCATGGGGCATGTGGACACATTTTTTCTCTAGGCGACTTATGAAACTTTATATTTGAGGAGATCGCTCATATATCAATTTTTGCATTGTACTATTTAAGAAAATAACAAACAAGAAATTGTTAGTGAGCAGAAATTCGGTCGTGTATCTGTTATCACTCGTCACATCAGTCAGTTATATAGAGGGATTACTCGTGTTTTCCTTTGGCGTTCGTCACTTCCGATTCAAGAAACCTGTATTACTCAGCTATCGTAGCAATGATCTCTGTGTAAAAATTATATTTGGAATGTGTTTAACCAGCTCTATCACATATGTGATAATGACTGGCACCAATATTGTAGGTAAGACGTTGGCATGTTAACCTGGTGGTTCCGTGTTCAATCCTTGCGTTGGCCGAGAAAGTTCACTTAGCCACCCTGATCCCCGTTCGGGTTAGCCAGTCATGTGGTAAGTTTTATTTATTATGGTCACGTATACCAAATTTTGGTGAACTTTTAGCCTGCTCTCTGTTGTTATAAGCTTGAATGACTTCGCGAATACATTGAAATAAACTGATTGAAATATGAATAGTATGATATTAAATTAGTCAGATGCATAACACACCCAGTACTAGATAATCAAACTTCCTGAATATTGAACTGGTGTATTCAATTATGCATTTATTATTGGACTAATGAAGATTTGTAGTGTGTTATGAAGGAATATGTAAATTATTTAATAAATTAAAAACAAAACACTTTTTCTATTTTTATTTTTAAATCAGCCCTATTGAGAACTTTGTTGGCTTTTTATGACGAGGCATCAACATGATTGACCTGTTAAGGTGGTGCATATCTCGCGGGGTCGAAATATGCCTCATTTTCTTATTTTGAGAATAAATGTAAGACTTAAAATGCCTACCCATTTTGGTGGGTCAAAAACATGTTATCCATTCTGAGAAGGGGTGCATGTCATTAATTATTGTACCATGTTCAGAAATAGTGACAAAATAGGGGACTATTAGTATCCCATAAAAACTGCATGCTTCTGTGACATTTTTCTGTTTTTTTTTTAAAGTATTCACATTTAAAAAAGTACAATCGGGGAATGGATAACATTTTTTTGGACCACACTGTATGAAAACGTATAAATGATATTATTACACTGAGAGGAATTCATGCATGAGTGGAGATGGTGTAAACTCACACTGTATTTACATTGAAAATGTGTGGGTCTACTGGTGTACTCATTGGAGTCTACGTAAAAGAGCCCCTGACAATCCGCTGGCAGGGCAAAATGCCCCTCATACGTACGGCGTATATGCGTCTTCATTAGCTCGTTTAATGTAGAAAAAGAGGTCGCCAAACACCATTTATTTCTATTTACATTGAAAATTGTATAATGAGAATGTTCCTGCCAAGATATCTTACACAAGGAAGTTCTATTCTGCATATCATTACATTTTACCTGTTCCTTTGTATAACTAGGTTTTTTAAATGATTAAACGATTGCATGAATAATTCGGCCAGTTTGAAACACACTCAACACATCTATATTTCTAGATCTATCGTATCTATTTACAATATCGAATTACGTGTGCAAAGAAATGACTACTAACGAGTTATCTGTGCTATAAGACTACCCTTCTTTATTCCATAACCCCACCCTTCATTATTCCATAACCCCACTATATATATACAGCCCGACGAATCCCATTTACATCAGAACTAATTGATACTTATCCTAATTATTACATATTAATTAATCTAACATACTTACTATAAAACGTATGACTCCGACATCATATCCTAATATACTTCCTCTTTTCATATCTACACTATATAAGTATTTTTAGAGCAACGTATTTTCTAGGTCACATTTTGTTACAAGCTGTAGTTGACAATGATCTTTATGCGTGGTCGGCTTGTCTATTGTGGCATATAGCAGTGAATGCATAGTGACTTCAATACATATAACAACGTCCTTCTTATAAATTTTTGAGTCAAGCGGGGTGGTGTCATTCGATCCCAAGTGACGATATTAAAACCCATTTCTTACCTTTTTAAATTTATACTTTGACAGTTTAGAATATTCCGTTCACTACACCCACGGATGATGTTTTTTTGAACTGGTCGACATATTACTTTAGTTAATAAAATGGCTCGTCCCAATTTCAAAATTCTGGAATTATATACGATTTGACCAAACGACAACTGCTAGATAATCGACTTTATTATTAACAATTATTTGTATATTTTTCCAATTCCATTTTCTTATATCTTCAGAATTTTCAATCAGCCTAAAAACTCTAAGGAGAGAGAGAGAAATGGGGTTTAACGTCAACTCGGCACAATCTAGGTCATTTCGGGACTAACATATGGTTCAATTTTATTTCCATAATTCGCTTGCGCATAGGGTTCTTTAGCAGTGGGAGGAAACCGGAGAGCCCGGAGAAAACCCACGAGGTTGGACAGGCGACCCTACTCCTTGTCACGTACAACTGGAGAATCGAAACCACGCCAGTTGACTCAATGACAGACTTTATGATACAGCGCGCACGTGCTAACCATTCAGCCATCCAACTAGCGGTATTCGTAGTGTGGACGTAAATGGTGGTGTAGCTCCTGGCAAAAATCAGAATTTTGTGGTATACAATATGATAGTTCTAAATATAGTCTGAACATGTTTTGTTAGATGTCACTCAAGACGACTAGCTTATAAAAGCACACGTCAAATAAAATGAAATGGGATTTGACGTCCTACTTTTCTGCACCGACAGGGTTAATAAACAAAGCCATAAGCAAATGTGTACACGTGACCCCGGTTTGTCGTTCCATCAGAACGACTAAACACTATCCTTGCCAGGCCTCCGGTTCTGCACAACTGACAGGAGGCGGGGTGGGGGCACGACCACGTCGGACAACCCCAGAGACCCCACTGAGCCGATGTGGAATGATGGTTATTTCCGAGGAACGGTAGCTATATTTCTAATTATATTAATTTTCAGATGTTTGAAACTAGTCTATAGTGAACCGCCATTGTTTTAGCTGGTTGGATGGCCGGGACGGAAAATACCGATGTTTCTTGGATTTCAACAGGTCGGCAAATGTTTGCCTAATTAATGTTTGCTTGGTGGCCACCAACATTAAAATCGCTCTTTTTCTTATTGTATCATTAACACATTGATTTGACACACTTGTAATAGTTCATATAAGGCGTTGTAAACTCAACTAATTAAAGATACAATATGGGAGATTAGATAACGAGTTGGCAGTTCTCACTATAATAGTTAAAAACTAGATAATTTAAAGGCAATTTGCTGAAAATTTCATTGAAATTAATCCACTATGAACCGAGAATTAAGCGATTGAAATTTCCGCCTAGCCTCGATCATCATTACTAAAGTCACTACGATAAACAACATATTCTCGATTATCCATTTAATCATTAAATCGCGAAGGAAAGTTATGCAGTAAATCGGCTCATAATCCACTAAAGATCTCTGCCATCGAGAGTTGATTATGGTCTTGATAAGTTAACTAATGTCTAATTAATAATTTAGATAACATTTCAGGCCTAAAGAAAGACCTGCAATCGACAGATTTAGCTCTTGTATAATGTACGTTTAATGCTAGAACTTTAATATCTTTACTTCCATATATAATATATACTTTTGTAAATTATGTCATTTTGGTGTCATTTTAATTGGAAGATGTAAGAACGCCGGATCGTTCATACTGTGTTAATGAAAATTATTATATCCGAGTATTAAAAAACTCCTTAGGAGAGAGAGAGAGAGAAATGGGGTTTAACGTACACTCGACACAAACTAGGTCATTTCTGAACTAACACATGATTCAATTTTATTTCTATAATTCGCTTGCGCGTAGGGGTCTTTAGCAGTGGGAGGAAACCGGAGGACCCGGAGAAAACCCACGAGGTTGGACTGGGACCCTACTCCTTGTCACGTACAACCGGGGATTCGAAACCACGCCAGTTGACTCAATGACAGACCTTATGGTACAGCACGCACGTGCTAACCATTCGGCCATCCAACCCCCTGAACTCCTTAGGAAATATGCACTGGCTTGAGCGTTAAAGACTGTTCGTTTATCTTAAAGGAGCTAAATCGCTAATATCTGGGACCTAGAAATGGACACAAGGGTCGCAAAGCATATAATATAAATGTAATATGAATGTATATAAACTCATTTACATTCAATCGTTTCTGCTTTAACTATAATTTCTAATCAGTTATGTTCGGCGAAATACGCCAAACGTCTCAATCGAATGGCACTCTCCAGCGTCTGTTTATTTCAGTCTACATCGATAGTATTTATTGCGCATGCTCTCCAGATAAGAACATGGCGTCACCGTTTGACATGACTTGTGGAATATGTCTAGCCGCAGAGGCGTAGCCGTGAAATATATATTGGGGGGGGGGGGGGTCAGCAACCCTAACCCCTAACCCTAACCCTATTTTAAAACCCCTAAAAAATATAAACAAACACCATGTGGCCATGCTGTCTACACAACTTGTTTGCTGATTGGCCCACCGCGTGCAAAGTATTATGGTTACGTGGCTGGCTGAGCGGGCGATAAATATTTGGTTTAGGCGATAATGTTTTTGGATACCTACATGCGATTCACTCTGATAAGTGGCAGAAAAAAAAAATTAACTAGACACAATTTTATGGAACACAGTTACTTTTTCACTTCACACATGTTTCAAGTATGATTCTCTCTGTGTTTTATTTTAAAATTGGGATATGTACAGGTTTTATACAGATAGAATCTTAACTAACCCTAATAATTGTTGTAAATAAATAGGAGTTAGGGTCTACTATGTAAAATTTTTTTTTTTGGGGGGGGGGGGGGCAAGTATATTCAGATCCCCCCAGAAAAAAAATTGGGGGGGGGGGGGGTCGGATCCCCCCGGACCCCCCCATATGTGACGCCCATGTCTAGCCGCGTTCTTTGAGTTCCTTGTCACAAATAGTGCTGAAACGCATTCGTGTACCAATGGTAAAATGTTTATTTTGTCTTGAATATTGGTTATCAGAAGCCCATCTTTTCCCGGTAAGATCACGACATCAATGTTGATTAAAATTGACAAATAATACGTGTTTTCAATGTCGAAAAGTTAAAGACTTAGCTACTTTAAATGTACTAAACCGTTATCGTTTACAATCAGGACAAAAATGATTTATTTTACATACTAGGCTAACATAAATTTCAGAAGTTCAAGAACATTTAAAGGACTCTCATATAGTCCAAGAGCCAGTGACGAAAAAACTGCCTCATAAGTAATAGAAGGTTTGACTATATTAATTGGCAGCTATTGATAGGGCAAATTCAAAACACCCAGTCTTACGAGGTTTCAGTGGGGCATTTGGCTGGGAGGGGCAGATAAAAAGGGCCAAAAAGGACTAAAATTTGCCTCATAAGTAATAGGATCAGAATTATTTCTAAAATGTTGCCATACAATGTATGAATATAAAAAATATAAATCTGACCAGAAAAAGTGGGGCCATGCCCTTTTCTGACTGCCTTAAAAAGTGCTGACGGGGGCCAAAATTTGCCTCATAAGTAATATAGTTGAAATTGGTGCCAAATGTTAGCTATGTACGAGCCGATTTTAAAAATATCAAATCTGACTGGTTTCAGTGGGGCATATCCCTAATCTGACCACTTAAAATCTGCCCGATCTGCCACGCCCACAAAAAAGGTCAAAATTTGCATCATAAGTAATACGATCAGAAATAGTTTTGAAATGTTGTGGTGCTATATCTGAATCTTAAAATGTAAAATCTGACCGGAAAAAATGGGGCCACGCCCCTTTCTGACTGCTCTAAAAAATGTGGTTGGGGGCCCAAAAATGCCTCATAAGTAATAAGACTGAAATTGGTGCCAAATGTTAGCTAATTATGAGACTATTCTAAAAATATCAAATCTGACTGGTTTCATTGGGGCAAACCCCTAATCTGACCACTTAAATGTGCCGAATCTGCCACGCCCACAAATGGGGTCAAAATTTGCCTCATAAGTAATATGGCTGAAACTAGTGCCAAATGTTAACTATGTATTAGTCGGTTCTAAAAATATAAAATCTGATGGGTTTCTGTGGGGCAAACTCCTAATCTGACCACTTAATTGTCAGCAACCACCCAAAGGTTGAATACTCATGCTTGATTTCAATTCAAATTTAAATCTATAATCTAACTAATTTGACACCCCACTATTAATTTACAGTTTTCAACAACATAGTAGAAATTCAATACAGCATGGCTGGCCTCCAAGTGACATGATTCTCCATTAAAGGAGTCAAGTCTTGAACTCAATATCATCCCAAATTTTCAACCAAGTGATACAATTCTCCATTAAAGGGGCCAAGTCTTGAACTCAATATCATCCCCAATTTTCAACCAAGTGATACGATTCTCCATTAAAGGGGCAAAGTCTTGAAGTCAATATCATCCGTTTTCAAGGTTGCAAACACGACTTAAATGGTCAATTTAAATCAACATCTTACCATGAAAAGTTGAGCTTCTGGCATTTAAGACAAAATGAAAATGTTAAAATTGGCACACGAATCGTGTGTCAGAACATTTTTGAGCGCAATTTGTATGAAGCGACTTGATGAACGAGGCTAAACATATCCCATGTAGGAGAATACTACCAGTGTAGACTGGAATAACCAGATGCCAAAGACTACCATTCAATTCGGACTCGTTGCGTATTTCGCCGAACATTACTGATTAGAAATTACAATAATAACCGAAACGATTGAATGTAAACCAGTTTATATACATTCATATTACATTATTTTATGTGTTGTGACCCATTTGTGTCCATTTCCAGGTGCCAAAGAATAGCGATTATAATATTAAATTATTTCATGACAATATCTTTTATACAAGAATCTATTATTGAACAAGGAAACGTAAACATAACAAAAGAGCTGTATAGTCAGTACATTGCCAATCTGTTAGAAGTATATACCAGTTTTTCAGAGGATGGCAGCCAAGATAATAATATATTTGGTGATTTTACTATTTTCAATTTTGAAGTGGATTACTTTGGACCACAGAAATTGACATTATTATCATCAAATACTAAAGGAAATATCATTTATAACAATAGAATGAATGTTGAAGAGGCCATTAAAGAGTGTGTTCTTAGAAAATCATCGATAAAAGCAAAGATTCGTGACATGGCATACATATTACGGAAGGAAATACTAAATATATCAAAGTCCACTTTATCATCAAAATTATCAGTGCAGGATATAATTCAAGGAGAGGTTTCTGTACCAGATTTATTAATCGACTTTTTACTCATTTATTAGGCGGGCCTGGCCAGAGAGGTAGGAAAACAGAAAAAAATGTAAGAAAAATTTCCTCAATTTCTCAAGATGCCATGTACACTATTCGTGTGGCAAAATTAAAACTTCCAAACATTTGACTCTTGTAATGGCGATGAAGAGTATAACAGGAAGCCTAAGAAAAGTAATTGATATTTAAATCGTTAATTACAACGGCATTGATGAACTAGAGACGAATTAACATACAGTTTACAGGAAGAACAGAGTACGGTTCCACATGGAATACACGGCCTGGGACAATTACTACAAACTGTATCAGATACAAGTACCAGTAATGAAACAACTGACAATGATAACCAGCTTCCTGTTTGTCGGAAAAGATGGTCATTTACTCCAATCCTTTTAAATCTGGAACCATATAGGAAGAAGCTTAGAATGACTAACAGTGGATTTATCCCAGAAGATCTGTTATTCCTAGTAGCTGTGCAGATGGCAAGCTTTTGGATGTTATTTGGATGATATCACATGTATTAGAAACTACTTGTGGTAAAAGATAACCTTCCTCACCAACAAATATGTTATCTTCCTAAAATCAATCAATCGCCAACCTCGTTCAATTTTGTTTTGGAAACAATGAAGAGATCCCAGCAGATTGGTGAAGAGTGATAGTGACATATGACTTGGCTATTGCAAAGATGGCATATACAATTCAGGCTGCAGAAAGTCCTCTATTTGACAACCTATTCATAATGCCAGGACCTTTCCACATATCAATGGCATAATAATTATTTCAAAGCTGTTGGGAACCATATTGCAGAATCTGAAGGACCGTTCGTAATTGAGGGATGCGACAAACCTGTCCAAACATAATATTGTCCGTTCCATAGCTACAGATGTTTTGATCATTCTACTTGAAAATTCCTTGTGTTGGAAATGTGTGGATAGAGCTTGGAATACAGTCGCAAAATAATTTGAGATATATTGAGACAATTAGTTTCATCATTATGCAGTGCTTTGACAGCTTTTCATGGGTTCACTGACTGTGACTATACTGTTGCATTCTTCAGAATGGGAAAGTTTCCCAACAAAGGTCCTTAGGGCAATTCACAGAGTCCCAAGAATAATTTTCGAACTTAGGATGCCACCAAGATATGAATGACGAAGATACACCTACAATAGAAAGGTTTGTCGCATATATGGATTATGTCATGTAACAAGTGTAAATTAGGCCAGATATAGAAAGTTCTGAAAGGTTTATAAACCAAACAGAACCTACTCACAGAAATTTGGCACAAATTTGAATCATATTTCTGTTTGTAGATTTAACTTTTAAGTGAAAACAAAATGTGTATTCACCTTGCTGGTGTGGTGGGTTGTGATATTTAAGTAGTCAGATTAGGGATATGCCCCACAGATACCAGTCAGATTTTATATTTTTAGAACCAACTAATACACAGCTAACATTTGACACCAGTTTCAGTCATATTACTTATGAGGCAAAATTTGACCCTTTTTGTGGGCGTGGCAGATGTATCACATTTAAGTGGTCAGATTAGGGGTTTGCCCCAATGAAACCAGTCAGATTTGATACTTTTAGAACCGTCTCATAATTAGCTAACATTTGACACCAATTTCAATCTTATTACTTATGAGGCATTTTTGGGCCCCCGGACACACTTTTTAGGGCAGTCAGAAAGGGGTGTGGCCCCATTTTTTCCGGTCAGATTTTACATTTTAAGATTCAGATATAGCACCACAACATTTCAAAACTATTTCTGATCGTATTACTTATGATGCAAATTTTGACCCTTTTTGTGGGCGTGGCAGATCGGGCAGATTTTAAGTGGTCAGATTAGGGATATGCCCCACTGAAACCAGTCAGATTTGATATTTTTAAAATCGGCTCGTACATAGCTAACATTTGGCACCAATTTCAACTATATTACTTATGAGGCAAATTTTGGCCCCCGTCAGCACTTTTTAAGGCAGTCAGAAAAGGGCATGGCCCCACTTTTTCTGGTCAGATTTATATTTTTTATATTCATACATTGTATGGCAACATTTTAGAAATAATTCTGATCCTATAACTTATGAGGCAAATTTTAGTCCTTTTTGGCCCTTTTTATCTGCCCCTCCCAGCCAAATGCCCCACTGAAACCTCGTAAGACTGGGTGTTTTGAATTTGCCCTATCAATAGCTGCCAATTGATATTGTCAAACCTTCTATTACTTATGAGACAGTTTTTTCGTCACTGGCTCTTGGTCTAATAAGTCCTAGCAACTAAAACCTTAGTTGAACCTAGTATATCCATGTAACACCAAATCAAGAAAAAAAATTTATAGTGATGGCTGTGTGTTTTACCAAAACTAAACAGTTTGTGTCAATCGCTGGCGTGGCGATTTTTAGACACACCCAGGTTATATCATCTTGTCTATTACGTGCACCAAATGACCTTGACTGACTTTGACTGTGTAGTTAATAATACGTTATTGATATAGATAACATATATAATATCTTCCTTTAATACCTTATGGATATCTATAATATATGTGTACCCATATCTTCGTTTAATACGCTATTGATATATAGATAATGAATATTATAACTATGTATTTAATATGTTACTTATATAGACAATGTATATAGTATCCATACCTTCATTTAATACGTTATTGATATAGATAATATACATATAGTATCCATATCTTCATTTAATACGTTATTGATATAGATAATGTACATATAATATCCATATCTTCATTTAATACGTTATTGATATAGATGATATATATATAGTATAGTATCCATATCTTCATTTAATACGTTATTGGTATAGATAATTAATATAGCAGTTCGGATGCGAAAAACCGAGGTCCAAATACCTACGTTAAAGCCCCCTTGACAGTTAAAATTCGTTAAAGAGTAGGCGGAGAAGATTAATTTTATGAACATTTGACGCCAAAATAGACGCCAAAATAGACACGGGCTAGTCATCCAAGTTGTTTAGTAACAAGTAACAATCCTATGTTTAAATGAGAACCATTAGATAATTCGACACGACTTTTTAAAAATGTTAATATATATAATTAAAAAGTAATTAATACAGGTTAAATTAATATTAAGAGTTAAGATACCGCGACTCCTGCCCCTGGCTGTAACGACATCTAACAACAGGAAGTTACTGATGATTGATTATCGATATGTAGGATTATATGCGCATGGGCTATCCATCTATCGTGATTATTGAATTCATTAACCGATAACCACGGATCGAAAGGTAACTATGTTAAGCTTTAAACTCCTAATTTTAAGTTTGCAAATAATAATCATTTTTTGAAAACGATTTGTTTTGAAAATTTGTGATTTTTAGGAGATATTAAATAAAATCTGAAATATTTTCCTGCCTTATTTCATAGAGGTTCATATATGTAGATTGTGAAGTGTTTCTAATTTTATAGCAATTTATTGCAAGTCACGAATATAATATTCAGCTTATTTTAATAGTCTAACGGAGAATGATACACACACGGAAAGGGGCAAAATAATTTAAGGCCACTGGCAGGGGCACACAACAGAGCGGTTTTTTTTGTTTGGGGGGTGGTCTGCGAGTGGGCCAGATTTTTCGCGTAAATGGATCGGTTTGCCGGAGCCAAAATGAGGCCTGCAAATCAATATATTCAAATGAGTCATTTAAAAATTACATAATGTTATACCTACTAACTACTTTTCGACCTGACTGTGGGTAATAATTGATTTTCTAATCCTGAGTGGGACTATTTCTTGATGGCACCCACCCCACCCCTACGCAAAAGATTTCATGTCTACTGGTCCACAAGTATTGCTCACCTTGTTCTTTTATTTGGCCTACGATCGACCTGAAAATTAGCAGGATTGTTCCTTGGACAATTGCGTCACAATACCAAGATGGCGACGATCACCATTTTCGGTCCCTTATAATTGTTTTCTATACCTGGAGTGGTAAAATGGTGGCATTGTAGAAAAATGTTATTAAAGGGTAGTCAAATTAACTTGGAACTACATATATTCTAAAACCATTATAAAATGGTTGTCCAATGAAATGATTCATAGATGAGACAGTATGTAAATGTTCAGTTTAGTTAGCCTACTGGAGGCTTTAATATTATGTAAATGAAGTAAAATGGTGATGGTTACACGCCCGACTGCTGCACAAACTAGAGGCCCTTTCCTCGTCAGGCACTTCTTCTTGGACCCCTGACAAGAGAAAAATTGGCTAGGAAACTCCAAGGAACTTTCTGGACCAATACTGGCATCGATCCTGGGACCTCATGTTTATTGAGACAGTGTCATAATCACCGAGTCACCGTGGCTCCACTCTAATAAAACACCAGAAATATCATTATACATATTTCTATTTTCAGAAGTTGTATAATCTGTATAAAATGGCCAGTGGGGGACTGTATTTATTTATTACAGCTGTTTTAATCACGGTATGTGTTATCTATAGTCAACATTCAGAAGATACAATAGCAGGTAATATATTAACTTCAAATGTTTCAATTTTTAAAAATCGGAACTGTAAGTTTCCTTTGAAGTCTTGCATTGCTTAAAGTAACGCCGCATCATTTGCATTGTTCGCTAAAATATCAAATATTTCACGGCTAAAAACACGTTAATAAGTACTCAGATTGGATATTTAATATTTAATTAAGAAAACAAAATCATAATACCAAAGCTGGATATTCTCACGGCATGGAATCAATTTGATTTAAAACAACAAAATGACGGCGCCCTTTTAACATAGCGAGCAGCATAGATCTATGAAATTTCAATTTAACATATTGATATAAAGACTAAACGAAATTTGCAAGGGATTCCTCTGGCTCTGAAATGACACAATGAAACTTCAAATTTCTTAGAAGTCTTATATCCTTGAAAACCCGCAGGGGTGTCAAATTCATATCGATTCAGGGGGCACATGAACTAAAATTTTACACCATGTGGGCCGGAAATATACAACGGAGAAAATAACGACATTTAAGTTCTATAGGGTCCTTTTGTATGACTAGTCGAACGATACCAAAAAGTTTAAAAACAAAATCTCAAAAACCCTGACCTGTAGCGTGTTTAAAATAATTATGACCAGACAGAATGATGGACACGGTCGACGCCAATATACACCCATATAAAATATGGACAATATTGATAACTGAGATGCCTGAAAATTGCATATACTTCGATCAGTTTCAGAATGCCTTAAAACAACTCTAAACCACAAACCGTATACAAGTACAAATCATTTTTCAAAGAAATTTAATCCTACACTCTTTGTTTGAAATTTAAATGCCGGCATTTATGGAAACTAAGACTGGGTATAATGAATGAACCATAGACAATATTAATAATTGTGATGGCTGTAAATTGGTGACTTGTTCCCGGTTCCTAGAAAATTCTTTAAAGTAAGCAAAAAAGTCATGCTTCACTTTTTCTTACGTAAGGAACTTATAAAATACCGTCTCTAGAAATTCTCAACATCATTCTTAGCACAAGTTAAGAAAGAGTCAAAGCACATTGTGGCTGGTAAATTGTGACTGCGATGCTCTCTAACGTCATAAAAACAATTTTGGTATGCGAATTACGTCATAAATTGGTCGGCTGCGTAGAGTTATAAGTAGATCAATGACATTAACTTCCCGGCAAATGGTCGATTTAGATGCATTTGACCATATAAAATGTGCCACAAGTAAAAAAAAAACAAAAACAAAAAAAATAAAAAAAAACCCAAGCACGTGCAAACAGACGGAATAATTGTGTGAGCGCCTGATCTTAAAGTAGCCAGTGTTTGTGCTGTATACTAATTGGCAAATAAATAAAATGGTTTCAGTGTAGAAGCGAATTTTCTATATAGCATTCTTCTCAGGAATATGTTTCTAAATGATTTGGGGGGTTGGGTCGCCGAATGCTTAGAGCGTGCCCGCTGTGTCATAAGGTCTGTCATTGGGTCAACTGGCGTGGTTTCCATTCCCCGGTTGTACGTGACGGGGATTAGTATCGCCTATCCAACCTCGTGGGTTTTTTCTGGGTCCCCCGGATTCCTCCCACTTCCAAATTATTGAAATATAATTAAACCATGTGTTAGTCCCGAAATGACCTAGTTCGTGGCGAGTGGACGTTACCCCCCCCCCCTCTCTCTCTCTCTCTCTCTCTCATATATTGTCTCTGTCTTTTAATTGTTTCTTTTGTATCAGAAGAAGAAACAGACATAAGGTTGGTAAGCAAGCCTTATACCTTGCTTGAGACCTGTGCTTAGATTGACAATCAAAGTTGTGCTTAAGTATTTTCTTGGAACACATAAAAGCATGCTTGTGCTTACTCTGAAGTCTACTTACAATCTAAGAACAAGATTGTTCTTAAGAATTTTCTGGGAACACAAAATAAGATAAGTTTACTTAAATGTAAAGTCTACTTAAAATCTAAGCACAAAGAACGTGCTTAAGAATTTTCTAGGAATCGGGCCCTAAAACGATTTAAAACAAACCCCTATACAATTACTAATTATTTTTCACAGAACTACAATCCTATACTTTTTGTTTGAAATTTAAATTGTGGCATTTATCGAAAATAAGGAAGGCTATGGCGTGTTCACTTATTACATCATTATGTTTGGGCATAACATTTTGCTTTGCCCGAAAAAGGCTATAATATTTTTTTTTCTGTAATATTTTGCCATTGTGACGACATGGTACTGATATATTTACTACAACAGAAAGTCATGTTTTCTTCAATTTACGAGTAGTACACGCTTGATATATGCATTATTGAATTCAGCGAAGCTCGTACAAAATGTGGAGCAGTTAAAAACAGCATATGATTCGAACTGAAAGGATACACAAATTTCAAAATAACAGCCAAGGATTGTAACTGGTCTAACAGCTATTTCGACGGGGCTTTATAAATTGGGGATTACTTCCCTTGATTCATGAACCATCAATCCGCTTCAGGATTTTACCAGATACTTAAAATGCCGCATACAGAGGGGGTGGGGTGTGAGAGTACGCCCTGTTCCGATATAACAAGAACGCCGCCATCGTTATGATGGGCATGTTTTCAATCCGATTGAATTCAAAGCGGGTAGATTATCTAGCGTTGGTATTTTGTTTTTCATTTCCTATTCAAATGCTCAGTAATAAATCTTGTTACATATTAGCGTCAGAAAGTTTGTATTTTCAGGAAAAAGCAAAACATGCACATATACATTATATTTATGGCATATCTTGGCCTATAACATTTGGTCATAATTTCAACAACACAGGATGATATGTGAAAGGTCACATATTATATCTTCTCCTAAAAATGTAAAATCTTTTCGACAGATATTAGCACCTAAAATGGTTATGTTGGGACATATTATTCAACCTAAGTCTTGCAAGTCTTGTCTGTTCTTAGAATGAGAGCGGGAGGGGTGGGGGAGGGGTGAAGTGTGTCTATCAGGTACGCTTTATATTATAAGATGACATTGAATCAAAGTGACGTGGTTTATTGAATTAAAATTTCGAAATGACCTAGTTTGTATCTAGTAGAACTCGTTCTCAGTCTCCCTGTAGAATGGGTATTGCGGAGTTAAAGGTAATTTGAGATGATGTAATATCACATGATGTCTGCAATGTCACGTGATATAAGATGCTTGAAAATCATTCGGACGACGATCTGATTGTTTTCATTTGAACCCACTTATCAAATTATGGCATGGAACCGAGCATGGCGTCATCATCTCCATCTTGGAATTCTGACGTCATATAAAAAATGGTTGCCAGTTAATCTATGCGCAATTGTACAAGGAACATGTCGTTCGTACGGGGCCTTCGGTTTTTCCGCAGAGCGTCGCCCAGAAGAACAGCAAAAACAGAAACATCGAAATGAGTAGCTCTTGGGGACATGCTCCGTGTTAAGAAAATTTGATATCAATTATGTTAGAATATTAATGAATGTTACTTTATATTTGCAGATGGCCAAGAACCGTGCATAACATATCAAGGTAAGGCCGAGTCCCGTTTTTCAAATAGTAAAAAGGTTACTTGGATCCCTGCTATTTACCAAAATACAGCTATCACTGAAATCACCATTATTGAGCGTTCATCTTTCTACATATGTTATCATAAATATGAAGAGCCCATCCAATATAAAGAGCCCATCCAAAACTTCGGAACAAACAGAACACACTGGTACGTCAAGAAGGGCTGTTCCGGAACTTTTTGGATTACAGAATGTCCCCTCGAGGGTACCCAAGAATTTTAGAGCCGAACATCAAGACTTGCAATACGATTCGGAATAAGAGTGGTCCTTATGTTTACATATTACGAAAAAGCTGCACGAATATAATTATACAACGGATATTATACACTGCTATCTCTGTTTTTGAAATTTTACTTTTTGATTAAAATGCATTGAAGACATTTATACAAGAAGAAAGACTGGGTGTAAGAGCTAAATCTGCAGATTGCAGGACTTTTTTCTGACTTCAAATTTTATCTTAATTATTATATGAAAATGTATAAACATGACAAGCCCATAATCAATTATCTGGATCATCGGATGGCACCGGTTTTAAGTAGATTAGAATTTAACAATAAAATAGATAATCGAGACAAAAATAAACAATCTATTCTATATTTTTGTCAAAACTTCAAACACTCAATATTTTGTACAGAATAAAGTAATTTGACTGAAATTTTCAGGATAAGCATTTGTCATTATCTATTTTTAAACTATTATAGAGAGAACTGTTAGCTCTTTATCGACATCTTACATAGGAGAGAGAGAGAAATGGGGTTTAACGTCCACTCGACACAGACTAGGTCATTTCGGGACTAACATATGGTTTTTAATTTTATTTCAATAATTCGCTTGCGCGTAGGGGTCTTTAGCAGTGGGAGGAAACCGGAGGACCCGGAGAAAACCCACGAGGTTGGACAAGCAACCCTACTCCTTGTCACGTACAACCGGGTATTCGATACCACGCCAGTTGACACAATGACAGGCTTCGTGATACAGCGCGCGCGTGCTTACCATTCGGCCATTCAACCCCCTATCTTACATAAGGCATCTTTAATCCAGAACTAGGGCGCAGCTACTGGAAAAAGATTTGCCTCCAAACAACACCCTATACTTAAAGTGCATACTTAAAGTTTATACCACCAGCCAATTCATGTTCGATCGACATGAAACTTGGTCAGCGTGTTCCTTGGACAATTGCGCGTTTGTTGGTGGATGCCGTAACAATTCCAAGATGGCTGAGATGACGAGATAATCAGTTCCTGGTACATAATAGGTCGTACTTGTTGATTCAATAACTAGTAAGTGCATAAAGACTGACGCGCCCCATATCAATAAGACAACCCCGTGGACATGACACATAATCTACACATACATTTCAAGCAAAAAATATAAAATAAAGGAAATACCTGGAAACGGACCCGCGGGGAAGGGGACTGTCGTAGGCGTCAACTCCACTGTGCAGTCCCGGGTTTGTATTGACGCGAGCTGCATGCTGCACTCAAAATGACACAAATACTAAAGGAAAAAAGAGAGTTTTCCCTAACGTTAGAACTTTGGCATGTCCGCCTTGAAAGAGAGAGAGAGAGAAATGGGGTTTAACGTCCACTCGACACAGACTAGGTCATTTCGGGACTAACATATGGTTTTTAATTTTATTTCAATAATTCGCTTGCGCGTAGGGGTCTTTAGGAGTGGGAGGAAACCGGAGGACCCGGAGAAAACCCACGAGGTTGAACAGGCGACCCTACTCCTTGTCACGTACAACCGGGGATTCAAAAACAACGCCAGCTGACTCAATGACAGGTCTTATCATACAGCGCGCGCGTGATAACCATTCGGCCATCCAAAGCCCCCCCCCCCCCCCATGTTCGCCTTGAACTATAATCAGACCACAATGGCTGTTCGAATCAGATGAAACTTATTATATACATGGTATGCATCAAAAGATCCAGGGACGGGCTGCATTTTGATGCGCACTAGTGTAACTAAGCTATATAGTATTAAGAATGAATCCTATCGATTCCCATTATTCTCTGTTTGTCGTCTGTCCGGCAAAGACGAACCCTATCGATAATCAGCATTTTGCGACCTTCCGTTCCGGAATAGTTTGATGCCACAAGTTAAATGGTGCTGTCCCCTATTTACGCCAAATTCGTTTGTGTATCGTGTGTGTTCGATATTAAATATTTGTATTTAGTTGAAATATTCCCTATTCGATACTACTGGGAACAATCAATATTTTTTTTAGCAAATTGATTTCTATATTGTGAAGCTTTAATGCGGCTGAATACATACCGATCGGTTTCAAACAGGACACTCTTAATAGTCTGGTACATCGCGGACACCATAATTTTCAGCTAATTTCAATGAGTAATAAGCCATTGTAATCTAATATCATTTTATAGAAATGATATCGTCTGCGTATATATCACCAATTTGTTAAATACGATAGTATCTTTCAAAGGGAACTAAGTCTTATATTCTTTATTGTTTGAAAGACTGGTCCTTCTGTTGTCCCTCCTGGTACACTTTCGGGAAATGCTCGACTGTACTCATAATTACCGTACTGTTTGGAGACCACAACCACCCGGGCGCCACAAACTCTAGCCAAAACACAGCATAATCCTTGGATAAAATGTTTCATAATTTTTAAAATTTAGATATTCTAGTCTTACATGAAAGTATACATAGTTAACATTTGTCTGCACTGTGACGGGGGGGGGGGGGGGGGGGGGTTAACGCTTGCGCATTGGATCATAGGGTCTATCATTAAGTCAAGTGGCGTAGCCGCGAATCCACGCTTGTACGGAACAAGGGGTATGGTCGCATATCTAACCTCGTGGGTTTTCTCCGATTTCTTCCCACGGCGAATTCCGAAATTAAATTGTACCATGAATTAGTCCCGAAATGACATAGTTTGTGTCTAGTTGACGTTACCCCCCCCCCCCATCTCCCTCTCTCTCTCTCTCTCTCTCTCTCTCTCTCTCTTATATCTGTATTAGTATAATAGTGAAGGGGCGTGACTAACGCCGGTCCATTGATAACGTTTTTTGCTAATGATGACATTAGTTTTGATTATCTCATGAATTCATCTCTCTGTGTAAAAATAGCACCTATTATTTATTAACCAAATATTAGATAAGAATCACGCCCAAACTTGTCATAACATATTATAAAATAGCATGGGAAATAATATTCATTCTAAAGGTAAAGGCCCGCCTATTATGGCGGGATTTAAGGGCCAAAACTAAATGTATGTTGAAAGTGTTATTATACATCATAGAAAATACCTAATACCTAAGATGCAAAATACATATGTCGTTATACTTATAATGATGGATACATAATACCGTTAAAGTAAAAGTCAAATGTCAAATTACAAATGTTTTTTTGGAAAAAATCCACTAATGTTGCAAAGAACACAACCTTTTCACATATACACTTCAACAAAGCAACTTTGCAAAATGACATTTGTCTTTTGTCTTTTAACGCATCTTGAGTTCTTGGGGTCAAAGGACAACGGTCAAAGGACATCGGGTCACATGTAAAATTGTTAAAATGAATGCTCCTAAGAAGGTAATAGAACGAATATAGGCTGGACCTTCTTTTAGTATCTGGATACTTGTCAGTCATGATGTTGATGTTAGATAGGCTAACTATACAGTTCAAATATGTATAATCTAAACAAGGTGCCATTCATTATTGAGATTACCGTTAATCATTCTTACAAACGAAGTTTGTTGGACATTATATACCCCTATATATTTCAATTCGGTTTTAACTGTAGACTAACTAATGTTAATACACCTAGCCTATATAGTCATATATTATAAACTTCACACAAAATAGGCCTACATCTAGATTGAACATATTTAGAATAAATTTAATTTAATGTAAATATACTTTTTGATAAATACCGAATTGTGTCATGTGTGACTTGGGCTGATACAAGTTTAAATTAAATGTAGGCTATATAAAATTATTTTGACATTATGGATCTTTCCATCAGGGTCGGGCGTGCTGACTGTCAGAATGTATAGGCATGTATTATTCATGCGGCATCTTATTTTTTTTTTTAGAGCGGAGGGCCTGGCAAGAGGACAACTGTTTAGTCGTTTATGGGACGAAAAATCCGGGAACCCGTGTCTACATTGGCGTGTACGTAAAAATCCCTTGGTAGTGGGAATTCGATATAAGAGTAGGCCACAGTGTCGCTGCCCGGGCAAAATGCCCCTCATAGCACACTGTATGCCGTATGCCCGTCTTCATTAGGAGCAGAAAATTAGGACGTTAAATCCCATTTCATTTCACTTATATTTTTTTTTTGCTGTCATATTTTTGTTTAAATACCATTGTCATTGGACTGTGTAAAGTCAGTAAATTACAGTTCCTTGGGGGAGTTATGGTATTGGTGTTTCATATTTCGGATAACTTTCGTAAACTGCACTTGAGTAAATAAATAAATGAAATTAAATATTAAATCAGAATCAGATCTGTTCTCATTATTCACTGTAGTAGGCATAGGTTAAGTAGATGGGATGGGATATGAAACGTTTCCATCTCTTGTTATATTAAATTTTTGATTGCTGGCAGGCAGTAAAAAAATTAAAACATTGTTGAATGAACCATTTTAAAATCAATCATTGTAATTACTTTCTAAATTAAAGAACATTTCATTAAATGGACTAATCGTTTTGTTTTCATGAAATGAGCTCCTTAATAACAATTTACAACAAAGAACAGATACAAAATCAAAGTAAAATTTAAATTTTATTTCAAAAGGTTATCGTACATAATAATCATTTAATATATTTAATCTTTCCAAATATACAGTTTCCGTACATTTAAATTGACGCAAGATTCCATTAATTGATAATAACAAGTAAAGCGGTAAAGTCAAAATTCCTACAACATATTTATAGTGTCCAGAAGGTCACTAAGCAGACAACGACAAGCTTGTTAAATAAGCAGACGACCACACGCTTATCCTTCCTTCATGGGAGCATTCATTTTAACAATTTTACATACTCCCCGATGACCTTTGACCGTTGTCCTTTGACCCCAAGAACTCAAGATGCGTTAAAAGACAAAAGACAAATGTCATTTTGCAAAGTTGCTTTGTTGAAGTGTATATGTGAAAATTTTCTGTTCTTTGCAACATTAGTGGATTTTTTCCCAAAAACATTTGTAATTTGACATTTGACTTTTACTTTAACGGTATTATGTATTCATCATTATAAGTATAACGACATATGTATTTTGCATCTTAGGTTTTAGGTATTTTCTATGATGTATAATAACACTTTCAACTTACATTTAGTTTTGGCCCTTAAATCCCGCCATACGCCTATAAGTCTCGTACTCTTGACACCCGAGATTTTATATTTAGTTTTCAGATATTTACGTAACTTGGCCATATAAGACGAATCGAAATTTAAGTAAGTAGTGAAAACAAAATTTGAATTTTTGAAAGAATTCGTTTGCAATTGGGCTAGCCAAAGCAATAAATGACTGAAGATTCTCATTTTTCAAAGATTCCATTTCCCCCCCCCCCCTCCCCCAACCTACATTTCGTCATATATGGTCGAGTTACGTAAATGTGTGCGTTATCCTATCTTTAGATTTCAATGGCTTCTGGCAAGCTGTTTATCAGAAGGGGACGTATTTTTATCAGCATGTTAACAGCACATACTGACGCTAGCGAGGTATTTTCTCACTAAAATGTTCCTTCACATTGTACAGGCGTTCGCGGGGACTGGCACGCGACCGTTTAGCAGTAAAAAGTTGTCCAGTAAGATTTACAGGGAACTGAAAATCTTTTCGACAAGGACTCAATAGGCCGGTTCCTGAACGTACAGGGCGAGTGTAATCCAGTACTAGCATTCCGTTAGCTATGGGATTTGTTCACTTAAGTGAAACGTCTGTGTTACATTTGACCAATCCTAGTGTATTTGATTGAGGGTTGGTACAATGCTGTATATTTGAAAGTTCCAGAAGATTTCCTTGTTTCATGGGATATCGTAGATTTATTACTAAATTAGGAATTATTTTTTAGGAAGTTGATTGAAGATTCATACAGTACAGTTTAAACAGTTTTACAGATGAAATTCAGTCGAAATTCAGGTTACAGATTTTATGCCAGCTATTATAATCAGGACCTCAGTTTTATATTCCATCCGAATAACTAGAACATGCCCATCACAGCCCCCCCACACACACACTTCCTGCACCACTGACAAGGGGAAACAACGCTGGAAAATTTGGGGAACTTTCTAGGTCACCACGCGGATCAAATCCTGGACCTCCTCATTAGTGAGCCACGGACAAGGGGGAACCACGCCGGACCAGAATCAAACCCTGGACCTCCCAGTAAGTGAGCCAGCCCTTTACTGAGTCACCGCGCGGCTCCCTTGCACACTGATTCCACTTGCATGGAAAGCAGGAATAATAGCTGTACACGTCAAATTCACAATTGTTAGTATAAATATAACATTTACTAGACAATTATCACAATTTTCACCAGGCCCTTAATCAAGTTATTGCAAACATTTTGCTTGGAACTCTCTGGATTGGTGTTCCTATTATTATAAGCTTTTCAAAAATGTATATTTGTTTAAAAGGGAGGACCATGTAGCGGGACTTCACGCTAGAAAATTTGAAATTGATAAACAATTTTAATGAACTTTAGAAACACGAAATTTACGAATATTTTACAAAAGCAAACAATTTAGGTTTTAATCTTTAAAAAGCAGCCCTGGATTACGATGAAAAACTAAACTTGAAAATATTTTTGTGGAAAAATGCTGATATCTTTACTACCATGATATAGAAATTGGTGACCATCATCCGATAAAATCAAGGCCTAATAGGGTTATCGACAAGTATTCTCTTATCGTTTTCAAGTACAAATAACGATAAGAGATACTTGTCGAAACGTCGTGCTATATGTGTATAAACCAGTGATTGTATTCCACATAAATTGTGTTGTGTTTTTTTTTAATATAGACCTTGTTCTGTGCCTGTACTAAAGAATTAGTGAAAGCTAGATAATGACGTGCAACTGAGCAATCTGAACGCGTATAAAGTGACTGAACATATATAAAATATGATATATTCAGAGATAAATATGAATATGAGTAAAATTTAAATTCTAATATGAATTATATAAAGATATGAAGTATTCAAAAGGTGTTATTAAAGAAGGTTTGAGCTAAAAGGATCTAATTAAGCAAATGATGATAATAAATGAAACACGGTAAAATGAAGATGTATACAAATGTAGAAGGAAATTCAACATGTGAACTGTACAGTTGATATTTAACAATCCATGATATGACTATCAGTAAAGTTAGCAAGTAATGTGAATACATAATGTTAAATAAATATGAATTAATGATTATATATGAGAATAATATATGTTATAGAATTTTATATTCAAAAAGACATGAGGTATCACAAAGACATGAGGTAACACAAAGACATGAGGTTTCACAAAGACATGACATGAGGTATCACAAAGACATGAGGTTTCACAAAGACATGACATGAGGTATCACAAAGACATGAGGTATCACAAAGACAAGAGGTATCACAAAGACATGAGGTATGACCTTATCATAAACATACAAAAATACGTGGATATCACGATAAGTACGATAATTTTCTCTTAATAAAATGTGATAATAAAGAGTGATGTAAGATATTACTTAATAAACATATTTTAAGTCTGGAATGTTATCTAAATTATTAATTAGACATTAATTAACGTATCCAGGCCACAATCAACTCTCGATGCCATCGCTAGCCTGCGATATTTAGCGGATTGGAATACATTTTTTGAAAAATAATTAAACGTAAAATTGGATAACCTAGATTTTGTTATTTTTATCGTACCAGCTTTAGTAAGGATGATCGAGGCTAGCCTAAAATTCAAAAGCTAATATCTCGGTTCAGAGTGGAGCAATTTGACTGAAATTTTCATCATATTTACGTTATCTATTTTTAAACTATAATAGTGAGAACCGTCTACTCTTTATCTAATCTCCTATAATGCACCATTAAAATATATATTGTAAGGATATACAAATAATACGAAGGATAATGGTTTGTGATCTATATGATAACATAATCACTGATGGCTGCTCTGGTGATGAAAAGAAAAATACATCATATCTATATGATAACATACATTTGAAATTGACAATTTTACGTTTTAATAATAATATTAAAAAAAAAGAAAAAAAAAAGAAGATAAAAACGATTAAAAGTAAGCTTTTTATGATCATTGATGGATGCTCTGGTGATAAAAAGAAAAATACAAATGTTTGTTTATTTTTTGCAATGTCTATATTCTGTCTTGTCCGCAGGTTTAATATACTTATATACTTGGGGTATATTCTATGCCCGAAATAACTTGCGGTCTGAAAGTCGGGGGAGGCTTTGGATAGATACATAGGGGAATTTAGGGTTATTCTTCTGAGAGTTTTTCTTTAAACCTGTAATGGGTTATTCTTCCAAGGTAGTTTTTTTCCATAAGAAAACATGATATAAGGGTTTTATTACTGTAATTCTGGGATATTCTCATTTTACGTATATGTAAACATAGACGGTTTATAACCAAGATAAAGTCCTCGACTTTTTGCTGGGGAAGAAACACTTCAGAAAAAAACCTCGACACAAAACCTCGCATCACGGCCTCGGTTTTTCTTTTTCTTGGGTTATTTTCTTCAGTCTTTCTCTTCCCCAGCATAAACTCAGTCTCACATGCTTTATCCTACACATAATAAAGCGGAATGAGGTTTTATTCTACATAATAAAGCGGTACGAGGTTTTATTCTACATAATAAAGCGGTACGAGGTTTTATTCTACATAATAAAGCGGAATGAGGTTTTATTCTACATAATAAAGCGGTACGAGGTTTTAGTCTACATAATAAAGCGGTACGAGGTTTAATTCTACATAATAAAGCGGTACGAGGTTTTATTCTACATAATAAAGCGGTACGAGGTTTTATTCTACATAATAAAGCGGTATGAGGTTTTATTCACACAATAAAGCGGTACGGGGTTTTATTCTACATAATAAAGCGGTACGAGGTTTTATTCTACATAATAAAGCGGTATGAAGTTTTATTCTACATAATATAGCGATATGAAGTTTTATTCTACATAATAAAGCGGTATGAAGTTTTATTCTACATAATAA